CCTGCTTGCATCCAGTTAAATTCCGATCGAGATTCATCAGGATGAGAGAGAAAGAGAGAGAGAGAGAGAGAAAGTCGAGATCAGATAATCGTGGAAAACGTGCCGGTACTCAATCCTGCGATGAGTCTCGCTAGTAAATTTCAGTTTTTCCAAGGAGCACATCGGAAATTCTACACAAATCAGATCGTCCGCATATGTATATGTCATATATACACATATAGGGTGCGTTACGCAATTCGTACAGATCATATCTCGTGCACGGTTGTCGATTGGAAAATCGTTGTGGCACAGGAAGAGGCTCGATCAGCTTAATGGTGTCTAATTTCACACAATCGCGCAGATGCAATAATGTATCTGCGGAATGCACGTGTCTCTTTTTGTCTTTTTTCTTTTTCAATTAGAAGCATATAATCTTTGCACTTGCGAGAGGAACAAGTTGCGAGAAATCAGGCGTCCGTTAAACCGTTGGATTTTTCCTTTTTTTTTTCCTCGTTACGTTCTTCTGCCGTCAATTACAAAGGAGATATGATGCTCGTCCGAGTCGTGTGATTCGCTCTATGTACACACGTGCATATATGCACACGAGGGCCGCTCTCGCTTCGCGGAGGAAACGAAGCGAGGCGACGGTGACAAAAAAGTGAGGGGACGGAGGAGAAAGAGACGAGGATATGTATATTGCGTTAAGTGTTGTTAAGTGGTACGTGAAAATATAATAAATGTTACACCGTTATATGTAATTATTATATAAAGAGAGAAGACGATATGTATAAGAGAAATTAATGTAGTTACAATAAATATAAGTGATACGAGACGATTACTACGGCGAGAACTCAGTGTGTACCATTTCGACACATCTGCATATCCCGAAATTCAAGCTCCTCTGCTCCGACCTGCCGTTTAAGCGGACGAAGAGGGTGCGTCGAACAAAAACGGTACGTATTTAGCGTCGATCTCGTCGATCATTATGTAGACAGTAAAGAGGTGGCGTTCGAAACATTAATTTGATTAACCGAAAAAAAGGTTTGGTCAAATCTGCAAATATTATTTTGCTACGAAAATTAATTTTTACGTCATCAAAGCAATAACACCTTTGCTGCCGCAACAAAATGTATTTTTTATAAAAAATTTTTTTTTTAGCGATAAAAATTCATGTGTTTACGGGCAAATTTGCTCCGCGAGATTTTCTCTATTTTTACAAAACAGGTTTTGCTGTAATATCGAATAATTGGTGGCGGAGTTCGGCCGCTTTCGCATCGAATATGCAACAGCGACGACGGTTCGCAGTTTTGCCACAACAGAATTCTTTTTCTTTGCGCGAGGACAGCTCGAGACCTGCCAAGAGTATGACACACTCGTTTCGCGCGTTTGTTTCTTCATTTTCGCGCGCGCTGCAATATTCCAATTCTGTAAGCAGCTTTTATCGGCAATAAAGCTCCCTCGTTCTCGCGGCAATAAAGAAATCCCGCCGATCTCTGAGAGACCGCCCAACCGATTCGAGCGATTCCACCTTTTTTATTTTTTTTCTCTCTCTCTTCTTTTTTTTGAAGGGGGCTCTTCCCGTCTCGGAGCGCACTTCCTCCCTTTTAACGGCTAACTCTCGGCGATGTTCGCGAGGGCGGAAAAGAAAAAGGATGACATCAACCTGCCACCTCGGTGCGTTTGATTCCCAGCTCTTTTCCCCGCCCCCTGTCCGTCCCTTCCGCCCGCCCGGCCCTCTTACACCGATCCGATCCGATATTACGTTCCCGTGTTTGAAAGACGCGCTGCACCTGTAGCGTACAACTTTAATTTGCTCTGCTCCGCGCCGCGCCGCAGTCCGACCGACTGCATTCTCGCGTTTGAGCCGGCTGTCCGGTAAAGCCCGACGGATATGAGTATCGCACGTTTGCATCCTGCGCGTATTGGATCCTCCTGTCGGCCGCGATCTAGAAGGCGGTTCACCCAACTGGACACGTCACACGTGTTTCTGTCACGACTGCGCTTGTTTCGCTTACGAAGATATAAATTTGCGGCTCGGATAGCGGCATCTGGCTCGCGAATGTCGTCTCTAACTTTTCGGTAACGGCAATATTAATCCATGGGTTTTTTTTTTTTTATTTAGCAAGTTTCAGTCGTGAATGTCAGCAATAAGACAGAAGTTTACGTGGCTTCGGTACACGTACAAATCCGTCTGGCGATTTTACGAGTCCGATAAAACCCGTATCGCTGCGTACGTAAAAAAAAATATCGGAAGATTTCCTATTTAAACTTCGTTTCTGCCGAAAAGATTCTGCAACTACTGCGAAGTAGGTCGTCGGTTGAGACGGTATCTTAAATCCTCCGAGCACATCAGGCTTTTCGAACAGTCGGTTCATTTTTTCCGCGCGTTATCGCCAGGCACTTTTTCATATCCTTCGTTGAGCATGAAGATATTAAGTATTATATCCCTTTTTTTTTGCCCGCGCACTTGTGGGTTTCATAAAATGCAAAGGGGGAAAAAAAAGGTATGATTAATGCATATTCTTATCGATGATGATCATTAATCAATGCTAAACTTCCTTAGGAAACGTGGACATCGTATTAATATTGCATATATCTGTGATTAATAAGAAATTTATTAGGTGTTTTGTAACGTTTGTGTCAAGCTTCTGCGGTGCATTTTTTGCTGAATGTTTGATAAAATTGTTCCTTCGACGCAAATTTAGTTGACCTTTTTACGTAATATTTAAATTGTCGAGTTTACATAATATTTAAGCGTTTAATTAAAATTCTCTTGACCAAAAAACTTAAAATATATATAATACAAAAAATTTATTATAATGCAAGGACTTCCGCGCAAAAATTTTGTACTGGGTTAGAAAGAATGCATTCTTCACGAGGATACGCATGAAAAAGTTTGGGTGTTTCGAAAACACGTTATCTTCCGAAAAGATCTCTGCATTATGGCGCCTGGATAACAATAATAAAATAAACAAGGTGTCTTCTTCATCATTTTTTTAACTTCAACATTTTTTTCTTTTAACAAGCTTCTTTGGTCAATTTGGAAATCACTTTTCTAGAATTTTATTTTTTATTTGAATATTTCAATCTTAAATTGAAATCTACTTAAATAAATTGAATTAAAGAAGTTTCTACTGTTTATTCAAATTCAAAGATTTAACTTGCAAGTGCACTTTATATTTATTTTTTTATAACGTGAGATTTATCGAAAATTCGATACACACGACGTTCTATCGAATTTAATTTCCATTACTTGTAGGAAGCGTGTAATGACTGGTACACCCTATATATCAAATTGAAAAAAACGTGGGTCGGTCTTCGGTGCCCGGCTGTCTGCTGCCGCACGACAAATCACAACTTGATTAATTGACTGGACCAGTCGGTTCGCCGGTTAAACGTCGCTCATTAAGCGAGAAAAAAAACGCAATCCTAGACGGCCTCCGAGCGAGACTCCGTATCACAGAACGAGAGAGACGTTTTTACGAGGCTCTAAATATGCTAAGCAACTATAAAACTTAGGAATGGACGGGAGGGGGGGGGGAGAAGAGAAACGTTCGACGTGGAAAAAAAGTTTCCTACGATGGAGAGATACCAGGCGTTCATTCACCAGTTTTCTTCTCCAGCTCTGAGGTTAGATGATAACGCGAGCAGTGAATAATTATTCAAATTTCGCAGATCATAGAATTAGCTCGCGTACGTAGAGATCTAGGATAGAGAACACACGGGCCTCAGGTCTGTCCTCTTCGAAATTTAGATCATCGAAAGTTACCTATCGTGTTCTTGTCTCTCACAAATCGCCGTCTTGTAATATAAGTCTGACTTGATCTCCCGTGACGTAAATCTAATTTATAATACTAGAGAGAACGTTATCAAGTCTGATAATAGAATGGAATCTATATATAAGTCAACGAATTTCTACACTTCTCAGTCAGTTTATTTTATGAAATTCTATATTAGAGATCTCTAATATAGGAATACGTAATTCCATGATATATAAGCGAACTTCTACATTTATTGACATTTTCTAACATTAATTTGTAAAATCTGTTTACGCTGACAAAAATATTCATGAGAATTTTCATGTATAAAATATCCCAGTTCTACATTATCATTTCTTAATGATACGTAATTTATGCAAATGCACTATTTGCAATCTGTTTTTAATCACAAAACTAATTAACGGTATCTCGGTATTTTTGTCAAAGAAATTTCGCGATTCTAGTAAAACAATTACTATTAAAATATATATACGAGTAGAAATAAAACGCTCTGAACAATTTTATAATTAGTTGAACATGAAAGATAGCAGCGCAGTAACAAGTTGTTTTGAATTAATTGCAGACACTTTCAAAATAACGACGTAATTAAAATTATATGACATCTAAATTTATTTCCCGAAAAGTTCGAAGCGACGTTTTCGATGGGGGGATTTTCTCTTGAATTAATTTGCACGTCTGCGTAACGAAATGACGTGAAGAAAAACCTTGGAAGTAATGGGAAAGTAATTTGCGTAATGCCTTCAAATATGAGTGTAAATTTTTGCACGTACGGTCAAAAACGTCAACCATCTGTTAACTCTGCCAGATGAAGGCAAATAATATCACGAAATACGGCGTGTTGAGCAAATAATTTTTTTAATTTATTACTTGATACAAAAGATTTGAACAAATTGTTAATTCAGAAATATGCTTGCACAAAAATTATCAAATCAAATATAAAATAGAAATGCACAGCGCCCATAAAAAAAAATCTATAATTCATATTTTCCGAATTTTCTATAGAGTAAAAATGAATCTAGTATTTTATATGCAATAAAAATATTTTTATCAAGAAAGCTCTTGTTTGTTTATTATTAATGCAAATAGAATACCACGATTTTATTTTGAAACTAATTATAATATATTATTTTTATAACACATAATTATTCGTTCATAAATCAGAAGCTTTAATTATATTAATAAATTATATTAATTATATTAATAAATTTTATGTATTTTTGTCAAAAGAATATTGTTCCTCTTTGTAGTTATTATATTACATTCAAGAGTACCAGTTACATCAGTTACTACACGATGTTTCCATTTTCTTGCATGATCAAGCGTACCTAAAAGCCGTGATCTAATTAATTCTGCAATTAAGTCTGCAATTAATTACGAAATCAATTATACGATTGATCATTTCCACATTCAAGGCAACGTATATAACATTTCGCTCATTGCGACACACCGCACGCGACGTCTTCTGCACGAAAAAGAAAACCGTTACGTCAATTCGCGGCCTTTTATGTGATAGACGAATACCATCGCGCACACAAGTGTGAAATTCTATCACAAAGCCGACTGATTCACGACTGCGAATTAATGTTTGTCCGATTCCGTTTCGTGGCCTTACTTCGAAAGTGGAAATTTTCAACCTAGGTGTATAAAATCGCCAGATACGGCGGTTCTCAGAAATCACGCGAGAAAATAAGAGCCGTGAGCTTTGGAGCTCGCAGCAATCATTATTTGTGCGAACGTGAGCCCAAAACCTGTTCGGACCGCCGCGAACAGCGAGGAGAAAGAAGCGACTGGAGATAAATCGCCGGAATGAAAATATTGGAAATACAGCGCGCGTTGCCGAAGAATAATCGATCTGGACCGCAACGGGTTTCTTTCGTCCTCGAAGCCCGCGGACAAACAACGAGATTAATTCCAGCCCCCCCTCCCCTCCTCGCGACGGGATCGAAAAAAATAGGCGCGCGACAGTTGTTGAAAAAACTATTTATCAGAAGGAAACCACTGACAAATTTATCAAAAAGTTTATCGCGCCTGCGTTTCTTGAAAATGATCGATTCACATCGGCGTTAAATATTGTTTGGATATATTGTTGGTAAACATAGAAGTATGAAATATGTGATCCTTTTTTTGCGCGTATCGCTCTGGGGAACGAAAGATAACAAAAAGTGAAACTATGAAATGCGGCGACGAACGATTGAAATTTATGATTCACGTCTCATCCGTTTTATATCTGTATGACTAAGACGTTAATACTCGCGGCGTGACGAGGAAGCGAATCCTTCACGGCACGAAAGGCAAATGTATGTCTTCAAGGCGAGGGATAACTCACGCGAGACGCAAAACACGTTTTTGTTTCGCGTTTCTATTTGAAAAGTTAGGCAGTTCAGCTAGATAGCAGAATTCATTGACTTCTCTCCCGACCACCTGGCGCAAAAAAGACATCTGCTTCATTTCTATTCATGCCCATTATACGTATACTGCCGTGCTATAAATCTCTACGAAAAATATGCAAATTTATTGGTGTGTATAATGTTAAAATTATTACTTCAATATTATTCTACATGAATATCAACGTCACTAATGGATATCTAAATAACGCGTATCTGCTTCGGGCACTTATACGTGCGACATATGTAAGTAGAACTGGATGACTCCTTACATTCGCACACAGAGAACGGAACGTACTTAATTAAATAGCGAAGCGTTTGATGACGCCTCTTTTCTCAAACTGTCGTCGTCTAATTACGAAATGCAGAAAATTATAGTTTCTCTTTCGCGCGGCGCTTTTAATTAATAGTGCCGTCTAAGGTGAACTAACGCCAAAAGAAATATATATTTATATTAAATACGTGATATATATCAGTTATCCTCCACTTTCGCAAAGTTGTTAAATTTTTAATTTCCGTTTTTATACGGTGTGATTTAAAGGCGTTCTTGGAGATTAATTGCTCAACTTCGTTCTGACGATTTTCAACGGGGATATCACGACCACCTGTGCACTTTAATCTGTCTTCTATACCCCTTCTTATCTCAACCATTCAGAGCCAGCCGTGCATATACATATCTATGCGCTGCAGCTTCGGTTTCAGAATTATTTTATTAACGGTTTTTTATTTATGGGCAGCATTATTCATTCAAACGTTTCTCAGAAATATCTTCCCTCGATTACGACGCAATTGTTTATCATTTTCCTACGAATTGTTTGTCGAAAGTAGACGCTAAAATATTCAAGTGTGTCTCGTTCAAACTCAAACGACAAACGAATAAATGCATAATTAATTGCTCGCGAACACTCCGGAAAGTTTCACGCGAGAAAACATTTTCGACTGCACGAGTTTATCAAATTTCCGTCGAATTGCCATAACAAATTCTCGGCGAAGGAGGCAAGCGCATTCTTAAAGGAACGAGGAACAAAAGAAGTAGATTTTAGCGGCGACGTGACTACTTTGTTGCCAATTTACTCTGTAAGTCCGCGAAGTGAGCGAACGGGCGTACAGAGTGAAGGAGTGTACATTCGTAGTAATCAGCGCTAGAGAAATGTCTCGACTTTTCTCGGGCGGCGCGATTAATTCTAATAAACCCCGCCGACAAAATGATTCCTCGCGACGCTCGCGGGCCATCGGTTCTGCTAACGTGTTGATTGCCTTATTACAAAAATGAATTTCTCCGACTTGCCGACGCTGTACACTCTGACGGTCCGGATGTCGGCCGGATAATGAGATTAATGACAGTCCCTCCCTTCCAGGGCGCGCTTCAGATTATAAATTCGACCGAGTTAGTTGCAACGCCTCGAACGGAAAAGGAGAGGAGAGGGGCCGAACTTTCGACCGCTGCTCCGTAATAAACGGGTTTAATTATTCGAACTTAAGTAATCGCATTCTCTTTCGTGAACGGGGCGCGAGAGACGGACTGATTAGATGGGAAACGGAAATGCCTGCGAGCTCTTGCGATTTTAACTATTTATCGCTCGGATTATATAATACGTGAAGCATGTACCGCAATTTTCGGATGGAAGTTCGTGGTTAATATAACGCCGGCTGCTACATACCTCGACATACCTAGCTCGATCGTGTGTTCTCAGGGTTATTTTGAGACGAAAAGTTAGAGCCTTTAATCCGCACCGGTTGCCCCGCAACACACGTTTTAAAGTTGACGCTGAAATCCATTTTGACAAACTTAAAATCTGGGTCGAGGACTCTCTCGTCCTCGTATATATAATTTTATACAATTATATATACATAAACTAGAAAGATATCTTAATCGCTTTAGATTAAGGAAGACAGAAACTAATCGCGTCCTTACGTTGAATATTTCATCGATTTATTCCAGGTTTTTTTTTATAGCGATCACTCGACGCCAGAGAAACGCGTCATTTTATTTTATAATTTCGCAGATTTTTCCAGCCTCGGCGAACAATTTAATGTACAATATATTTCTCCTTAATTCAGATGTGAGTTAATCGGTTAGATGAATGATAGACAGCTACCGTGGAAAGTTTTAGAGAAATTACTGTTAACTTCTGTGAAATTTCACAGGGATTTCGATCCGCCGCTGCAGAAGCGCGATACGGAGTCACGGAAAGAGCGAGTCGGTGAAGAACGAGTTAAATCAGACGTTCGAAAACCGATAATCAAGGTTGCACGCTGCAATTCACGCTGAGCTTAATTAACGGCGAGTCACTTCACGAGTTCAACTTGTCACTAAGGATTTATTTAGTCGGAATCGAGTCGGCTCTTCTTTCATCATCGAGAGCTCGCATCGCGGTGTTATCAGTTTGCGGAATAACTGTTTATTGACGATGATATTTTAGCCGCACGTATCTTAATTAATACGGCACGCAATTCATTAAGAGCATTATAAAATCTCAACAATGACAGTTTCGAAAGCAAATATCCTTTCTACATTCTTGTACGAAATTTGCATTTCGAATCGCAGAAATGAAAACCTGTCACCGTCTCAAAGAAATGCAATCGTGAACTCAGCGACGATAAAATTGACTTTATGGATTTCCTCAAATGATCGCAATTAAGTGCCGTCGACGGCAGCGGTCGGCTGTGAATTTTTTCAGGTTCACTGAAGTCCGCGCACACGACCTTGGGCGGACATGTGCTAAATCAGAGTCACCCTGCTCCCGTATGAGCAGCACTCCCCACTGCACCGACTGGTTCATTAACAATTACATGGACACCCATGGCACAGGTGGCACGGCGATATATAAAGTCGCGCGGAATCGGCGTGGCCGGCTATTAGTTCGGCTCGCTCCACCGACCGGTTCGCAGGCGGTTTCCGATTCCCCCGGAACGTCGATATCTCCCGCCCGATCGTAAATCGGCCGATTTAATCGGCCGATTGGCCCAACACGTGCCCGAGTGAACGACTTCGGGGTCGCTTGTACGTTTCACTCGGATCCTTCCGCTTGCCGCACCGCCACTTCCTCCTCGCCCAGTCGCTGAGATTTAAAGGAGACCAGACCTTAATTGCCGAGATCGCTACGGTACCCCGAACCAGGTCTTCCCGTTACATCGCGCTTCGAGGCTTACGGAAGCTCCTCACGTCTGTCACGATGGTGTCTACCGAGAGGAATGCCGGCCTCCTCCTAATGACTGTCGCGTGTCTTCTGGTGAATCACGGCGAGGCGACTTGCATCGGAAAGACCATGCTGAGTGAGTACAATGTCTAAACAAACTTCTTGAGACTTTGATTAATTAGACGTAGCGCAATTTCCATACTAATTGGCGGTGAATGGGCGTGTAGCAATTCAGAATCGATTTGTGCTTAGCGAAAATGTTGAGAGGGCGAGAGAAAGATCGTTATTCGAGAAATTTCTCGTTATTCGAGATCTTTGTTGTTAATTTAAATGAAAGTTCTAGCGATATAATGTTAATCTAAAATTGCAAAACAGGTAATGCTCCATTGTTTGCTTACATCTCTGAAATTCTCCTTTCTCTGCTATAGCTGCTAAAGAAAAGTGAATTTCGCCTATTTTCCCGTCATTTTCGCCAAGTGCAGCTCAGCAATTTTTTATGAAGATTTCAACGGCTTCAAGAAGAACAAAAAGTCAGCGGAAAACCATATTTTTAAACAGAGATTTGTTTAGTAAAGAGAATGTTACTTTAATTTACTAATCTATTTTTTGGGGCATAATTCGCGTTAATTTTATAACCTATGATCGATAACAATAATTATCGATTAATCAAATTACCAAAAACGTTGCTAATCAATACGTAATAATTTACAAAATTAATTCCTACTTAATCCTTCAACGGCTGAGCATTTTTTGCACCTTTTAAATGTCACAACTTTCACTCATTATACAGTCGATTCAGAAACGATATATAACAGATTTGACAAGTCATTGTCGGTGATAATAAAAAAACGAAATACGACGATGGAGTTGAATAATTCAGCGTAAAACTCATCGCGAGAAACATTACTTACGGCGACACGAACATCGTCCCATGATTAATCGTCGTTGCTTTAATCAATTCCCAAAATTCAGCTTCCGACCACGCAAGCAAGCAGAGAAGTTAAATGAGCCTGTATATTATTATCCGAAATTAAACGCCAGGTTTCTATTTTATTCCAATGTTATCGGGCATTTCACCACCGAAATGGCTCGTTCGCGCGCTTCAACCTCGCGGGCGAGGTATCTTTCCTCAAAGACTCGAATAATTCTCGCCAGGAAGTTCGGTGCAGTTCCCCGGCTCGTCCATCAGCCTCCAGACAACATTCATCAGATAAGAACGCGGCGGGGTATGAATCGCGCGAATTAATTCTTCCCGCCGTGTCGCGAAACGACTTTACATCGCGAGCCTCGGCAGAGAGATATGGTTCAACGATTTATAATTAATGAGAGAGCGAGTAAGGACGATACCGGGGCGTGGGACGGGGACGGAAGAATCGCGACCGAAGGTCTGTATTACGGGCTTCATGCGACATTTCGTTAGCGTTTTGCCTTGAGCGCAGTCATCGCGGCACCGATATTACATGCAAATACAAGCATCGCGCGGAAAAATAAATTAAAAGGAGACATTTTGCGCGAAAATTTTTTTCCACGCAGAACTTTCTTGTTGCACGCTGGCTTTGTTTACTCTGACTTAACATTATATTCACGGTGGATAAGTTTCCTCATTTTTTTTTTTTCGTATTATTACAATAATTATTATTATACTCGTTAGCAAGCAAAATGTTACGGAAATATTTTAAACGAATATTTTTTCGGGTCATTATTTCAATCATAATAACGAAAAAATTGAGAGATAACAGCATGCTGAACAAAACTGCACAAAAACTGGTAAAATATAATATAAACTTCAAGAACGAAAGAAAAAAAAAAACTAATACATTATCGCAAACCTAATATTTATCGAGCAAACTTTATTTTTCATCGGAAAGAAAACGCGTAAAAGCGAGCACCGAGCGGAACGACGGTCTGGAGTCTAAGCAGAAATAGCTGATAGAGAGCTATTTATTTAGCGCGCCGCGAGTCCTTTCCCACGAAATTCATTTAACTGCGAGCTACAGGCAGGATGGAGTTAGCAGGTGTCGGCCGAATTGCATCGTTACGCGCTCGGTACCAAGCCCATCTCATTTCCGGCGCAAAAAAGAAACTGACGTTTTCAGTCATAGCTGGGACGGCCGTCAACCAAGTGCGGATGTTATTCGAGTTTGTTTCGCCTTTTCAATGGACAGCAAACGAGCGGGCGATGCGCGGGCCGCGTCGGCTCGAATGACGATTAATTGGCGTGCAACGGCAACGAGGGAAAACTCCCATTCGCGCCGACGGTGTCGTCTCGTGTCCTTTTAATGATCTGCTCATTATCCAACTGTCGCGAGCGGCACGCAAGCCTTCTGCTGTTAGAGCAAATAAATCAGTCATAACGAATGCTGAAAGAGAGAGAGAGAGAGAGAGAGAGAGAGAGAGAGAGAGAGAGAGAGAGAAAATGAATTTACGCGACGAAAAATTCCCGACGGTTTCTTGACACAGATACGCTGGTTAAACTTCCATTCCAGCGTAGAGCCTAATTATCCAATTAAAATGAAAGTTCATTAAAATTGAAAGGCTTACACAAAGAAACGATTGTACTTTCTAGGTGAAGCCTTCACACACACACACACATTTCTGACATTTTATTTTTGATTATAATAATTGCGATTTTATACATATTTAAATGTTCGCTTAAACCTGTCTGAATGTTTATGTCAACTTGATATATTTCATTCGTCGATAGGTTAAAAGAATACGTTTTAATTATTCAGAAGCAAAAAAAAAAACCCATCCGATCAATTTCGAATACGTAATTCGTCAAAATTATTTCGCGCCGGAATACACAGCGCGATACTATTTAGATGTATGTACCTATCAATCGCAGCGCGATGCTCTTTCGTCCGCGAGTGAGCGCCAATCGAATAAATTTGAATCTTTTTAGGCGGGGCACGCGTGTGATCACGCGGACGGAGAGACTGCTCCGTCCGGTCGAGACAGAAATCGATTTCAGGAATAAATTGGCGGGCGTCTCTTCGCGTGCAGAAATTATTCGACATTCGTATTCGGCAGAATCTCCTTCGCCAGAAATAGAACCCGATGACTGCCGTAAATTCAAATCGCCGATCATTATCGAGAGTACCGCGGAATACGGGCTATATTTACGGGGAATCTCCATGTTAATGACGCAATCCGGTTTAAAAATAATTAACTGTTTATAGCGCGTATAACTGTAAAGCGTGGGATTCTCTCTTGACTTAATAATCGACAAAAAATCGCTTTCGGGCAAAGTAATGCATTACTCGGCAGTCGTTTGCAGAATAGATCTGCATGAAAGTGAGCCACGGAAAGAGAGGGAGTGAATAGTAGTAAATGTGACAGCGCAGAGTATATTCAAAGGCAACAGTTCAAATATTTCTATCACCGCAAGTGATCGTTAATTAAGAATATTAGAATTACAAATTTACGCAATTTATTCACACAGTAAAGCCTACCGTAAGCTGCCATTTGTACAAAAAGACAAGATAAATCCAGGATCAAATATGTATATTGGAGAAACAAATTGGGGAATGTTGATTGAAACATTAACGGGCGAAATCTTTTATACTTCCCGCTGCCGTAATGGCCAGTGAGAATTTTTTTAAAGCACGCTCATTACCTAAAGGCGCTCCGATGCGCCGTGATACACATCGCGCGAGCCGCTTAGGCGAACTCCGCGGCGGGGCTGAAGCCGACAGCCTCCACTTACCTCATTAAGCCGGCAGCGGAGGACGCGAAGGGCGGCGCGGGGATCGGAGTCTCCCGCAAGATAGATTGAAAGTACCCGGAGGATGCGGCGACCGGTGACCGGCGGGATCCCCCTGTGTCACGGCAGATAATAATTAACTCGGGCGAGCTTACGCCGGGACGCGCCGAGAAACGACCGTTCGTATTACCGATGCAAAACTTGCGACCTCGCCACCTCGTCTATTTCACAAAGGCCGCGCAATTACTCGCCTTTCTCGTTCTTCTCCCTGTGATCAAGGGACCGGCGCTACCGCTGCGGTGCTCACGCGGAGGGAAAGTGATTAAGTCCCCGTAGCCACCGCAGAACAGAATATCCCGGGGATCTCTTCGTGCGGCGCGACTTGAACAATAAGTGCTCCTTGAACTTCGGAATAATGTATAAGTAACACGTAATTCAGCTCATTCCCGCGTTCGCGAGGAATAAAAGTTAATTCGCTTTGGTTCTTCTTAACGTGCTCGATGGTGCGCCCGATCGTCGAGAATTTCCGCGTCTTTCCTGGACGTTTCTTATCTATGCGAAAACGCGTTAATCGCAAAAATCGAAATCACAACGGAGACTTGAGCCAATTAACATGTAAATTTCTTAGATGTCAAATGTACAGATGCTACACATAATAATGTAATTTATACGCAAAGTCTACTTTACGTGGTGGCATCTTTTATATGCAAATTAAAACGGTTGTGTATACATAAATACATACGCCGTGCAGGATGATCCATTTTAATATACATAAAATATATCTTTTACACCTATATTATTATACGTATGTACACATCCAAGATGATGATGTATGACGCATCTAAGATGGAAGACAGATGATGCAACACGGCCGTTAAATGAGAAATACTCTTGTAAAAAATAAAGAAATATAATTTAATAAGGTTCTTATATTCAAATTATGATTTATGTGTAATGTTACACTTTTAATTAATGCAAATAAAAATGCAAAGAAGAATTGCTTTTCTGCAATTCTATGTTTATGAATACGCTTGATGAAAAGTGATGAGTGAAAATTCCTTAGAATTCATTCCAGATGCGCGAATCGCGCGCAAATTCGAATAAATATCCTCGCGTTTTCCGCGTGAACATTTTCAGGACACTTTCTCCCTAATTATAGATCCGTTAAGCGAATCCGCCTGCGGGCTGCAAACGACATAACAAAGCGAGCAAAAGGAGCGCCATCAGTTCCGCTCCAATGACAAGTTAAACTTGGGAGACGGGAATTGCTCGATGCCGCCAACGGGGAAAGACAAGGGGAACATAGCTAAACCAACTTCCGCGGAAAGTTTTTCGGGAAGCTGTACAATCTGCAGCGTAAAGAGCAGCGCGGAGACAGAGAGAAACGGAGGGAAAAAATCCGCGGCGAAAAGTTTCGGAATGATGAAAGACCGCCTGGGAAGTCAAACCAAACGCGTGCTCTCAGCGTAAATCATCGACTCCTGTGGGGGGGAAAAAAAATCCCCTTAAATGTATATCATTCAGTCCCGACGACAGTCTGTAATTCTCCGCTTTGTCGTGCGCAGCGGGAGCGGTCCGATCTATTGTCATAACACGCTCCTCTAATGATGGATAGCGCGGCGATATAGAGACACAAAATATATTTGCCGCAGAAAGCAGCGGAGCTGAAGGCACGTATCGTGTTACAGGATCCGGCGGTATATCGTGTGAGGAGAAACAGATTATCCTGGACGAGCACAATCGATTGAGGCAACTAGTGGCGCTGGGGCAGATACACGGTCAACCTAGCGCGGCGAATATGATGGAGATGGTAAGCTGAGACGTTTCACCTTATTTCCTGGAGATTCGCGCAGCTTTGTCCGAAGTCCCGAATAAATGTACGTACGCTTTCCCTACAACGCGATCGACGCGCACGGAATAATAATATTTAAAGAGCGTGTGACACGCAGAGCGCCGTGAGAGATCGTTCTCTCGATTGTATCACGGCTCTCATTTCGCGGTGTGCATGTGACGGGAATATCGTTCTTGTTCCGCCGGATGTTTTATATTCGTCCGTGTGAGAAAAAAAAACACACCCTCGCGCGAGAAGCTCGCGCTAATCTGCATGGCGAGCCGCGTGACAAGTTAGCCGAAGTTAGGATGGGGTTTTACAACTCGGTAATGCTTCGCAGATGCATCGCGCCGCGCGATTAACACGATGTGTAAGTTACTAATTGCTGTTATAGATATGGGACGATGAGCTCGCCGCGATGGCGCAAAGATGGGCGGATCGTTGCGCCGAGTCGCATGACAGTCTAAGGAATGTCCGTAAGTGAAACCTCATTAGCAATTTATTTTTGCAAACGAACACGGTGGTGTCGCGTGGCGCAACGATAACATGATACAACATTATAATATTCCATGCTGGAAGCGTTTGCTTCTTTTATGAAGATTAAAAATTATAAAAAGCGGCATGTAACAGTAAAATTGCATTAAAAACAAGGAGTACTTTAGTATTTTATGTATATAATAGAAAATTTAATCGATTAGCAAGATAAAATGAGCAATCTAAAGCATGCAAATATGTACATGTGTAAGTAGAAAAGCTGTGAAAATGATCAAAATAATATATATTAAAACGAAAACAATTCAAATTATACTTTGATTTATTAAATTTTTATGAAGTATTTTAATCTAGTTTATGCGTTCACAATTCAATCAAATATAATTAGATTGATTAAAGTATGAAACCATAATTTTAATTACATAGATTTGATTGAATTGTGAAACCATGTCTGAGAATATTAAATAATAAAATTATTCTACAAACTTTTAAAAATATTAAACTTTGAAAAATTAAACGAAAATGTTTGAAAATATGAATTTTATCAAAATTATATAAACTAATTTCTTTAATAATAATCAAACAACGAAACAATTGTTAATAAAATTCCGATTATGATGTTGCTCTCGTTATCAAAAAGTTAGTTATATGGATGCAGAATGCTTATTATTTATTGATGTAATATTCGAAAATAAATGTCATCCGCTCGCGTAATAATCTCAACAAGAACCATGCAGATTGCAGCAACGTTTATATTGCAGATAGTCATAGTTACAAACCATATTACGTTGATTTTATTGAGTGTCTCATAACTCACGCGCAGCAGTTGCTGCTTGATTGAGCTTTCAAAGCACCCTCCAATCTCGATATCTCTTTTACCTTTCATTAACGTATTCCACGCGAGAGTAATATTTTTTTCCTCTCCCATGAGAGAGGGAGAGAGAGAGAGAGAGAGAGTGCTCCAAAAAGATAAAATCTAACCGGCGTATGTATTTTATACATCAGCGTTAACGAGAGCTTCTTTTATTTAAAAACGAGTCGCGACAGTTTTATAACATCGAGTTACCGTTGGAAATATTATCGTACAGTTATTAAACGGATAATTGAGCTGCTCAATGGCAATCGATATATTGGAGTGGACATAAAACGAAGTTTAATGGTCACGATGTGATGTTATCGCGATCTTTTGTCCTTTCAATACATACATTAATTCTGGGACATCAAAGAGAGAGAGACGCGCCTTTTTTTATAATATAAATTTCAAAATATGCGTCGAAGGTATTAATGGATTAGAGTGATTTTAATGTTTCATAATTCTACGCGAAATTTTAAACTTTTTAACGAGCGACGTTAAAGATTAGTTTTTTTTTTTTTTTTCCTAAACAAGAGTAACTCTATGGAAACATTTTATAAAATCGACAAAAAGTGGAAGCTGCAATAAATATGTTTTCTCGTTCGTCTCGCTTCCGCAACTGTTAACAAAACAAGCGGCATGCTTCACAAGAGTTTTGCGATTTAATACAGTTCTCGTCCGGCGAGCACGTTCATGATTGATCAAAGATTTGCGATTGTAGGTAGATTTGCAGTGGGGCAGAACATGGCTCGTTCGTGGACGACCAGGCCCCCGGGACCTTACGATGGCGAACCGAATTGGAGACGGCAAATTTCCGGCTGGTTCAACGAGGTGCAATACTATCATTCTGGGTATAGCAGAACCACCGGACACTACACACAGGTTTGTAACGGAAGTGGGCGAAGTCGGAAAAATCAAAGCGCCAGAAAATTGTTATGCTCGCCTCTCCATTTGTATTATTCATCCAACTCACTCGATTTTTGTTTCAAACACGTGGAGCGTTTCAACGTACAACGTATGTCAATATAATATTTGTGCGCACGCATAAATCGCTAGCGATTGAAAAAATAGAATACCAATTTCTTAATGCGACGTACTTAAAGTTGCGATTGTGTGAATTTCTCTCAAGAGTGACGCAACGTTAAAGATCGATTTCATTCGTAGGTCAGTTTGGTCAGTCAGTTGGAAAGATTCGCGATTTACAAACCCGATCGGTCCCCACAAACAGTTAATTCTTATTCTATTAACTCGTTCGATGAATTTTCACGAGGTCATCATCTGCGAAAGGAATTTTTTAGCACGACAAGTTTGTCGTCCGGAAGAAGGCTTGCTTTATTAAAATCTTGTCATACTATTGGAAACACGCGTGACGCAGAAGACACTTAAATCGAACTTTAAATTTCTACTTTCCACCTCGAGAAAAATAACATCTTGTTATTTACGGGATTTCAGTTTGGATAAAAGCTCTTTAAACGTTTGTATCTAACAGCATTATCGATGTTTCAACATTTTTATCAAGGAGAACTCGATTCGAAACTAGTTAAAGAAACTGTTATCAAAATGTTATCCGATAGAGATGGCATTCCACTTAACGCTTGAAAGATTTTAAAACGCCTCTGCCGAGCTGCATGTCCCAAGGAAGCGTATTCACAGGTATTCAAAGCGTAATCGGTTCCACTCGCGAGCTTCTTTCACGTTCACGCGCGAGCAATTTGCGAGTCTTTAAGAAGCGGGAAACATTCTGAATTAATTCCAGTTGGTGTGGGGCGACACTTTCCTGCTGGGATGCGGATATTCGTTCTACTACGACCCGGCTCGCGGCTACACCAAGAATTACGTATGCAACTACGGGCCGAGGTAAGAATCCCATCTTTGAAAAAGAAGCCCATCTCCTTCGTCCGTATTTCGTTTCTTTCGGCATTAGAGTATGGAAATGCGGACAATTGCGTCGAAAGGCGTATTGCGGAATTAGATTTTTTTACTGAAATGCTTCCCCAAGAAACTTCATAATTTCCGCGGTTTATTTGATGAATACGAATGAACACTCCTATGTAGCCGTAATTCTGTTTTCCGCAAATGGACTCCGTTTTCCGCGAATGAACAATGCGGATTTTTACACACTCGGAAAAAGAAGAAAAAAAAGGGGAATGTAAAGGGAAAAAGAAAACGCGAAGAAGAGCGGAGCGGAAAGAAAGGAAAGAAGTTTGTAATGGACGTTTCTCTAAATCAATTGGAGTGACACATTTAGATTCGCGAGAAATATAATAGACGAAATCATTTAAGCAAATGAATTTAATTTGATTTATCCGGAGAGTTTATCTGTGTCATTGTAAATATAGATGTATGGATTTTTAAACGTTTCCGATTATTTCTATTTTATGATACCTTATATTTTGAGACCGGAAATCATAACGATTTTCAATTGTTAAAAGTATAAAATGTCTGACTTTTTCAGTAGATTGTTATTTACGTTTTCTCAGATCAGAGTTACATCGTAGGCATTAAGATTCAATGCTCCGAAAGGTGAGAGGTGCTCTTTTCACACACATGCGAGGAATCGCATGACAAAAAATCTGACGCTGCGGTATTTCGTTTCAGCGGAAACGTACTCGGCTTTCAACCTTACAAGTCGGGTCAGCCGTCATGTGGCAATTACGGAATGTCTTACAGCAACCGATATTCTGGATTATGCTGTTAGTATCACAATCAGCCTTATTATTTATTTAGCTTTAGCATTATCAATATTAATATCATATCGCGGCATTTCTCTAAAAAGTATATGAAAATTTTGATTTCACATTAACAACTTTTTTTAGAATCTTTCTTGTTGCAACGTAGATTAATGTAACACGATTTTACCTTCGATTTTCTGTAGAATTAACAAAATTTATCCAACTATCTTTCCTTTAAATAAATAATTTGACTTCCTGTCGGAAAAACAGCGGCGAAGGAAATATCACGCTGAAATTTCTTTCTCATTTAAATAATTTCCTTCGCACGGCCGTCTTTTCAGCCGCGCAACATGTACGTGTAATGTAATGTATATTAATGAGCATTACGTGATTACAGCCCGTGGAAGTTATTATCACCTAGGAGCTCTATGTGTGTACGGATAGTGCACGTGGGTATACACAAAGTACACTTGCAAGTTTTGAGACGTACCGAAATAGCAGTGCAGTTTGCGCGTCCACCGCTTCCTTCGCTGCGACAATGAACGCCAATGATGACGATCAATTCTCATTAATGGGACAATCGGCTACTGCGTCACGCAAATTGCAATTGATAGTTTTTCATTAATTAGGAAACACGCACGGAAAGTCGCTTCGCCGCGCATTATATCAATTTGTACACATAACGACGCGGCGAATTATCATTATTCGCCGTGGCGAATATTCCTGTAGCAATATTGGATTAATCAGATGTGGCCAAGGCCGTCGAGAGCAGGTTCGGGTTCCGGTAAAAAAAAAAAACCTTTTCTATCCCTCTTCTCTCTCCACCCATTTTACGCCAAAGGTGAGCTGACTGGAGATCTTTATGCGAAATTTATATTCATAAGCGAGAAGAAAGCACTATACAAATGAAACATGACACACATTTATTTTTATTTCTTTCAAGGGAAAGGAAACATTTATTCTTAAAGAACACGTGCGTGGAAGTTCCCTGGAATTTTGTGACATTAACGGATTACTCACCAAAAACTATCGATCGAAACAATAATAACCTGGTGTTGAACCCTCAGTCATTTGGGATTTGCCCGATCGCCGACCTCCATTTCGTTTTTCCTTTCTTTTAATATTTCACTTTCCCTTCTTTTGTGATTTTATTTCAATTCTTTTGAAAGGAACGATATAGGGAAAATAAAATGGGAAAATTATATGTGTAATTTATAAGGTACACTTTATGTATTATTCAGCTCTGAAAACAAGCAAATTTTTCTAACACAACTGCACCGCGTCAGCTCCCGTCGAGAGATACATATCGAGAAGATACCGTTTAAGAGATAAAGAATAGAATTCAGATATCTTCTTTATCTATTTTTATTCTAGTTCAATCCGTCTAGTCTATTTATAGTCCGTAGAAATTAGTAATTAAGTCGATAGAAGAATAACCATTGGCTAGTGTTTAATTAATCGCTCGCGCAAGTAGAGTGTAAGTTCAACTTCTTTTACTAGTATGTGTAATTCATGTGTAAATAATTGAACATACACAATACATCTCAATGCAAATGGTTATTTTTATTTTTACTGTTGTACATCCACGTAAGTGACCGAAATAAAGAAGCAACGTCAAATTATTCTTAATTAATATATTTATGCCTTTTAAACAATTTCTTCCCGTTTTGTCATTCGACACATTGTCATCTTCACATCATTTGACACACTATCGTCTTTTACGAAGTGCAGCTAAAAATTTCGCATATAAAGAAAGAAGAAATTCTTTTCGACGTAAATAATAATCTTATAACTTTATGCGTATGGTTTATATACGATAAAATTAGAGGTCGTAGTTCTCACCGCTAATGTATCGATTTTGAATTCGTTGTTTTGCACGGAATGGCAAATTCAGTTTTATGCTACATTATGCTGAAACGAACTTCTCAATTTGCTCTGTCATGAACTTGATTGTACCCTGCTAGCGAAACGTGAAATACATAATGCACTTTGAGATATCGTATCGCTCCATTTTCCTCGATGCAAACACCACTTGTTGATTAACAGCAGCGGCACGCGCGGCAAAGATTACTAATTCTATTTCTTCTCCTTGAGGAATCTGCAGCGCGAGAAAAGATTTCTCGCTTTCAACCCACATTATATCGGAACCGCAGTGCCTGAACGGAATTTAATATTGATACGACACGGCGTGACCGCTAATTAGACGCGCATGTTGGCAATAAAATATTCATCTCCAATGCAATTTTAATTGGGCGAACTCGCTGATCCTACTTTATAACATAATACGATTTATGTACATCTGAACGTTTAAATCGCCGAAACCGTAATTTAAAGCTTGACCGATTCCGCGCTCGTTATGTTTAATTAAAACACGAGCTTTGAGAATTGCAAATAGAAACATATTTCGACATAATGAGCTTCCGTATTTTTTTCTCATTGGATCAGAGTGTCCCGCCTTCCCTTTTACGCCTTAATATTTTAATGATTCGATCGTCAAAGCAAGAATATGTAATGCGTGGCATCTTCGGGATTAATTCGCCAAAAAATATGCACTTTATCATTATATAATGCGCACGGAATATCCTATGCCGTCGCCATTGCATGTCTGCCACAAAGGCAAAATGTGATGAAGCATCAATCATGAATGCCGTTAGTTGCAGACGATAAAAGTGCAATACAGATTTTGCGCTCGATAAATCGTTCGAAAATCGATTTCTATTATAAGACCACCCACTGTTGCGCTGATAAAAATTGACGAGCGCTGGAGTATCCTGTAGAAAAGCAAAATTACTCCGCCGAGACCATTTTTCGGAAGCAGATAAAAATAATTAATGTCTTTAATATCTTTTTCACAAGTGCGCATCTCCGACAGATTTCATTAAACGGCCCGGAGAAATGACTTCGTCGCGTGTTAGCGAGCTGCATAATGGACACAAGTGTATTCTTCGCGCGAAGCGCCAAACAGTCGGTTGCAAACAGCCATTTAAGTTGGACACATTTAAATACCTAGCGCAATTCTGTTTTGTAAGTCTTGTTATTCCCAGAATACATGCGCATCCGAAATGCGAAGGCGTGGAATTATCAGGTAAATAGCATACTTATGCATTATTTGCATATATTTTCAGGAAAGCTGCCTCTTCAACTCTTCGTTACAATAGTTCATTAATTATTATTATAGTATAATTTTATATTTTCTTTCTTGTTTCTTTAAAGCACGCTTGATACCAAGTTTATGGATTTATTACGGCATTAATTAAACTTTAATGTCTTGTAGTTGCATAACTACTTAGAATAGGATGTTTGCATACATGTGTTTGTGTGTGTTTGCGTAGCAACTTTTGTAACCGCTCATGTAATGTTGCGGTGACACGTGAAAGATACATTGTGTAGTGCGGTGCGCTGCACAATGAGCAAGCCTGTTATTAATAAAGCATAATGCGTCCACATAATAATCACGCGAACGTATCATGTGCATATCAAATGGAGTGGAAAAAACGTATTCGACGACAGATGACAGGGTTTCATCGTCCGCGCTAACATCTTCAAATTATCGTGTTTCAGAAAATGAGGACATAACGTGTGACATCATACGCGACATTCTCGACACCCACAACAGAATACGTCAATCTATCGCCGAGGGATCAATTAATGCTCAACCACCTGCCGCCAATATGCGCGAACTGGTACGTCTCGATAAAGTATAATCTGCCTTGTTCACGTTACTAGACACATGATATCCTTGATGTTTCCTACATGCGATGCATGAAAGCGTCAAACAATTTCCATAATTTTTGTATTGAACAATTGAAAACTTTTACATCAAATCAGTTATATTATTTCCAGCGAAATCACAGTGACGATCGTTCGGACGAAACTGTGAAAAGTTATTATATATAACATCATTGTTAATAATTAATCGAAGTAGAGCAAAAGTATATTACTTATATAATTATGCAATTAAAAAATATAATTTATTTATTTCTCATATAATAATTCTCTCATAAAATTTTTATATATAATTCGAAAATTAGAAACTTACTAATTCATACAGATTACCTTTTTCTATTAAGTACTGAAAGTAGACTTGTATTTATTGAATCATATATTGCAAAGAGAGTTGTAAATCATTCTAAGAAAAATACAAAAATTCAAGATTAATGAGTATCCTCAGTTAGGAACACATCTGTAAAATTTCAATCAACTAGCACGAAACGTGCGTAATGTATAACTGTATGGAGATTAATCGTCGCTGCGGATAACCGACGTTTCATCAATTAATGAAACCGTTGCACAACGCTGCTGAGATTAAATATCATATACTTTCCTAAATATTTACATGATGCAAATCGCACACACGTCAATAAGATTACGTAAATTTGTATTTATAGTATTGGGACCGTGAACTCGCATCCGGTGCGCAAAACTGGGCGAATCAATGCACATTCGCTCATAACGACGCGAAGGATAGGAAAGTCGGTACGTATGCAGCCTGATATTGAATGAATAAATGTATAAAATTCTTGCTCGTGCAAAATAAATTAGTTATCAGTCTCCTCCGCGTTAGGCTCCTTGTGCACACTCGTGTCCCTCGCGTCTCTCAAGTGTCGCATAAAGGATGTTAATTTACTCGGACAACGCGGTGCAGTTTCAGGCTCGGGTGCTAATTATCGAAAGACACAATATACGAGATTGGATACAGCGTCTTTTCCACCTTCGCTGAATTTATAGGACCGCAATACAATTCGCGGAAAGATTTAAACAAGTCATAAAACGCCGCGTCGTCCCGCGCCCCTCGCGTGTCACGCGTCGTAAGATACGAGACAGTTCGCGCATTTAAATTTTAATCGATCGCGACTGGTTCGCGTTCGCACACACACACTGACTTTTAAGGAACCTGCTGACCATCCTGTCTCGTATAATGTAAGTTTATTGCTAACAATTTGATTGCCCGCTGGCGGCCAGCTAATTGAATATTCGTCCTGCGGTGTAAAAAGAAGCGCACGTGAACGTTTTATGTGCGCTTCCTTCCTTCCTCTGCAAAATTGTACAACTATCGAAGACTCGAAAGTGACACGCTAACTTGTGAAAAAAAATATCCGTATTAAGATTAACAAGATGGATAAAGAAACAAATAAGCAAAGGCTATTTACGTAAACGTGAACAAGTTAAAAATAACAAAATTTTATCTTCAAGAAATGATAAAGAAATGAAGACTTAAATATGTAATTATAAAGCACGGATCTTAAAAAGTAAGAAGTTTTTTCATAAATTAAATTTCAGAGAGTTGCGGATAAGTATAAAACTTTATTTTTTCTTCAATTTAACATAATCCTATTTTGTTCGAATTTTAGAGAATTTAGTTATTTAATACCGAAAGTTCGAACATATCGCGAAGTTATCGGATCCTCGGATATCTCTACTGGGGATAAATCGATTCTAAATTTATGTGAAATTTGATTCTGTGGAAATTGGACTTCCTATATTGGGGTAAAGTCACACAAGAACTTCATCTTTCAGCCTTAATGCCTTTGAACGAGAATACTCAAAACGACTCCACGTCGTCGTCGGCATCGCTAAGTAAATTTCTCTCTCATTGCTGACATCATATAATGAATGCATTTATTATTATTGTCTCTTTTAAAGTAAAATTTTGTTACTATATATAAGATCTGACTCGGCCTGAAATAAAAAACGTTTACATTTGATAAATTAATAAGATTATTTGTAGAAAATTCTTTTTCTTCTCATGTCAGAGAGATTCGAAGTCGGCCAAAATATCGGTTTAACGAGGATAAGAGGAAAGAGCCACAATAATACGAAAATCGAATTTCCCAAGCAGATATACGAATGGTTTGACGAGCACAAAGCCTGCCGGTTCGGCCCTATCAACAAAGTAACACAAGTAGCTGGCCATTATACACAGGTGAAGTAAAGAAAGAGAAATAATAAAAAGAAGTTATTATATTAGAACATATAACTCGATATTTTTGCTACTGCGCATTTTATATTATTTTATCGCAATTAAAGTCACTTGCCTATTGAAAAATAGATGTACATAATGCGGAAAAATATTTATATCTATATCACTGAAATAATTCGTCGATTGAAATTCGATAAGACATTTCAAATGATAAAATATCAAGTATCAGTCTTAGCTTAAGCAAATTGCAAGAATTCCAAAGGGAAGTCTCAAAGCTATTATTTCCGCTTTTACAGCTCGTCTGGGCAAATACTTATCTAGTCGGATGCGGATATTCGCAATATCAAATGCCGAATAATACGACTTATCGATATTATATTTGCCATTATGGACCCACGTGAGTATCGACATTTCTCTTCAATATATATTTTCGAGTTTGCAGAACAAACATCAGAAAATTAAAAGCGTTATTAGCGTTATTAGAAGGAGAAACCAATCGATACATCTTTTATTTATATCATCACGCCAGAGTGGCATGGCATCATATCTATTGCAATATATCTACGTGATGCATTTTAGCAATACTATTTTTAAAAAATAAAATAAATCGATATATTATGTTAAAAACTGTGATAATTATAATGAATTCTTGAAGAAAAATTAACTTTACAGAAATATGCACGTAGTTCTGTGAATATTACGTTTGAAATGAGAGACTTAATTTTCTATTACTAATACATGTTATCTTATCACAACATTCTATACTAATCATAACGTTCTATTCATTAATTACAGCGGCAACGTAATTGATGAAAAGCCGTACATAGTTGGCAATCGTAGTTGTGATTCCTTTTTAAAAACTTCGGATAAATATCCTAATCTTTGCAGTGCGTAAAAAAAAAATCAGTATTAAGATAAAAATTATTCGTAGAAAAAAATTGCGGAACTCAAAATTAATATAATTCAACAGGTCTCCAGGATGCACCAGTGATTTGTCTTAAAAACGATGTTAAAAAAATTCATGGCGACAACAAACTCACGCCTGTCGGAAGTAGTCGGAGATTTTTGAATAATATTCGCGATAACATACGACAGATTAGGCGTAATATTATGCATAACAAGGCAAAGAAAAATAAATCCGCACACACAAAGTGCAAAGTTATTTCCATCAAGGATATTCTGCAGTACAATAAGATTGTAATATTGTTCTGAGTTCGACTAACTAATTATCATAACATTGCGTAATGTATTTCTGTTTAATAATATTTCAATTATTAATATCCAGAGTTTGAAACAATAACAGGCGTGTGCTCTATGTTCTGACAGTCTCGTTAAAACTTGTCTTCAATACAATTTCATTCTATTATGCGAATGTAAGACTGATAAGATTTAACTTTGCGCACGACTCTTAATTAAATTGACATGTATTAAATTGACATGTAAAAAAAAATTGATGTATATAAGTTAAGAAAACTGTTCTAAGTTTAGAAATTAGATTTAAATACACGATTTTAAAAAGTTGTTAATTTTTTTAAAAACTACATTTTCATTTTCATTAAAAATCTTGAAGTTATCGAGGAAAAAGACGAAAAAATATTTGCAGAAAGAGTGAGTATCGAAAGTCAAAAGATTAAAAGGAATACTTGCTTAGCGATAAGCAACAAACTATGCACACATGTACATAATTGATTGCTACTGTTTAAATTATCCATTTTTCATACCTTAACAAGCCGTTTTTGCATATTTAACAACAGGAAAGGTCTCGCTATTCAAAAAGTGCAGATAACAGTATCTCTTAAATAATATTTATTCTTATTTTAAAATATATGCACAACAGCTTAGGTATTATTCACAATTAGGTTTTGATTTACAAGTATGTATATCTTTACAATCCGCAATGAGGTAAATCTAAGTTTATCAAAGATTACGACTGCATACTTCGTAATAAGAATTTAAATTCAAAATTGTCTAACTATGGTTTTCCGGTATACCGTCAAGAATCCGATAATGATCACAGATCGTACAACGTCGTTTCGTTCGTTGAACGAAGATTAATGTTTTCACGTACAACTGAAACGTGCAATGGTCGATTGTAAAAAAGATCAACTATGTCTCATGACAGATAATTTTTTTTAATTTTAACGCACGCCAAAGGAACATGCAATTTTTTTGCACAAATTCTCCTGAGCATTTGCTCATTGAGCAATCGTACTGGACGCACTGTTCCGCTGCGTAAAAACATTTTCTCGTCCACACCTGTTCGTCGCACTGACGGTAGCAATGTTGCTAGATCAATTGGTATAATTATGTTGCTTTTGATATGCTACAAACAATACTAAAATAAAATATCATTGTTCAATTTATTTCAATATTATTTGTAACGTAAGAAAATTAATAAAATTGTATCAATTGATCTGACAATACCGGACGGTGGCGACGTTTTAACAGACAAAAGAGTCTACCGACGATGATTATCGCGCCGAAACAGTACGGAAGCGAGTTTAATTTACTATACTTCTCCATAGTATTAAGTGAGGTTCGTAGTATTTTTTCTTAAAATAGATTTAATTCCCGTTTGCTTATAGCTTTGTGCAATTGGATAGCCATTGTCTCTCTTTAGGTCTTCTCCCGCTAATGATCGTAAGAACAAGCTTATCAACATGAAAGAAAATATAAACTCGATAAAAACGATTAAAATTAATTTCAGTCTTAACTAATTTTCAGAATAATTCAAGTGCAAAAGAAAAATGTTTATTCAACACTCTTACCTGATCACATTATTTACATTTAATTAAAATATTGATTGCAATAAATGTAATTTCTAATAACACGATAAAATAAATTTATGGAATATAGTCGAGCTTATTTTCTTTCATGACAGATGTTAGCTTAGAGCTAGTTTCGCATGTATGTTGGCGGCTTTAAGTCGCGTAGATATTTGTAATATTAAAAGTTACATAATTACGATGATCAATAATCAGTAGTGATAGCAGCAAGTGCAGAAAAAACTGGGACAAATACCGTAATATACAAAAACCAAGGTTTCTTGAGCTGCGGATGCCCACGACGGATTTCAGAGAACGTATGTGTTTATATATATATATATTATTATCACATATGCAACATATGTACATACATTTATCTATAAACAGGATGGTCAGGTTGATATCTCGAGCCAGAATGCAAATTGGCATTGGCATACGCATCAGAGGATCTTTCGGAAAGTTTTTGAAATAACAATATGCTGGTTCGATGCATTGGATATAGATATCCTGAATTATCAACATATATTTTCTCCACACAATTTCCTACATTCTGCTCTTCCCTATTAATCTGTATTATTCCTATTTACATGACCCTGAAAGCTCTTTATTGCGAGCGTAATACATCGATGATCAACAAGATATTCGTAGCAAGAATGTTCAAGTGCATTTGCTCGATACTTGGGAATTTCTTAGTCGTAAAATATTAGAAGTATCGTATACAAGTCTTGAAGATCGTGTTGCTCCATTTGCATATGTAAATCGAAATAAAGTAATATCGGTGGATCATAAAAAATCTGTCGTTTAAAATAAAAAATCAACCTTTTTTTTCACTTAGAAAGTGTCCCTTTCGTTACGCTCGTTCGATTAAAAGAAAATTCTTACGAGAATCGCAAAGCGAGAGTGAAGCACTTGCCTATAAAAATGAAGAATCAAAAAGAACCGCTTCATAACGCGTGGATGATCAAATAATAAACATATTGTATATAAATATCGATTTATTTATATACAATATACGTCAGATATTTACAAAGTTAAAACAAATGGCAGTTAGGACTAGAAGAGAAGACTCTTTTGCAGTATTACAGCTTTTGTGCAATAGCGTGTGTATGTGTGATTTCACGATTACTAAAAAATATATTCAACGTGTCGTGGAAAGTACATCAACTGGGAGAGGGACTCTGCGAAACTACAAATTGCTAAATTCGTAAAGCGGGCCATTGAAAATGAACAATTCCTTATCTCTTCATAATTCAACGTTTTGTACAAGAAAAGCGAAATTTTTTCTTTTCAACAATATGTCTTAGGAGCTCTATGCTGTTTGCGTGAATACAAATGTTACAAAAATATCCTAGTGCTCGAATTCACAACTCGTTCGCAAATCAACCAAGTTTTATTAATTTCTCTATATAAAACACATTGAGACGGATAGCGAAGGGACTTCAATGTACTTAAAATTTATCTCGTCGTTTCGCAAGAATAACAAATATATCGATGCATATCTTTTCGTTTCTTTTTGTTCTTGCCAATAAAGAAAACATTCTGTTAGCTTACTGGAATACTGGAATAATATGTTATAAGAAAAAGATTTTTTAAAATTAATACTTTTTTGGTATCAATTCCAATAGTTTTAATCTTGCATAGATCTTATAAATTCTACGAGATCCAATCACATATATTTTCTTCGCCTGCAATGACTAGCATTTCTTTCTGTTTCATCTCATTAAATAGAGAATACGATTGTGCAAAATGATTGTGTCAAATGAGATACAATTATCCTTTTTTTTTCTAGATATCATAGATCTCATTAGACTAACGATATTGCGAATCAGAGTGACTTTGCATTTTTCCCCGAATGAATAGGAAGTAGCTCGATTAAGAGCCAAGAGCTTTCAAATCAAGAAAGAGAACAGTTTGAATTCAACGTTTATTTATAATGCCTTATTCTTTGTCTAAAATTATATCGGAGTCCGTCAAACCCTACCGAACTAACAATGTATAAAATTTCCATCAGATTAACACAGGGTTATAATTTAGGAAACCATTCCTGCCCAAAAAATATCACAAATCTCAAACGCTATAAAAAGTTTATTCGAGAAATTTGTTACCAGTAAAAACAAATGATTATCTTGTATTCGCGTAAGATTCATGCACATTTCCAATGAATATTGAAACTAAGGTGAACGCAACAAAGGTTCGTGCATTCAACAAATTTTATATTGTCTATTTTATAGATCAGAATTTTCTCGGAAAGTTCTCTCAGTTCTGTGTGTTCACTTTTCCGCAATAAGAAAGAGAAGATCACAGAGAAACGTGTTTCAATGTCTGTTCTTAATAATCGCCATTGTAGAGACACTTCCCGAAATTATGTGCGTTAACTCTCGTCTCTATTCACTCGTGCAGAATTGTAAAACTGGTGCTCGAGTGCCAGTAAATTCGTTTTAATTCAATGCGTTTCTTTAATTACTTTGTCTCGAAAAAATGAGAAATTGCTCGCTTTCCAATTTATCACATTTTAAAATATAGCATTCATTCTCTTTGTACGTTATTCAATACATTATAAAATATACAAATTGTCGCAAAACTATACTTTATTATAACAAATAACGTTGGCAATATTTTTTTCATTCGTTTTGAAAGAGTTTAAGGATATGTTACATATTGTATTCACTCGTCAACGTTTGCCTCGCTACTGTATGACAAACGCGTGATGAGTTAAAACAAATTTACTGGCCTTCCATTCGTCAGCTTTACAAGCTATACAGCTAGGCATTCGGATAAATGATAAATGTAATTACAAAGGCCTGACTCGCGTTATTACTTTACGACCTACACAAATATATCTGGTTCGTATACGTCGCGGCCGTCGCGGATTATAACCATTGCTCGAACATCACACTCGTCTCCGTTGGCGTTAATCGTTTATGATTTAAAGAACACACACACTCGATTGGTCACTACGCCCGTATCGACAGAAACGTATCAATGATTTCAGGTCGGCAACAACAAACCATCGATATATGTCTCTCTCGCTCGCTCGATCTCTTTCGCTCTCTCTCTCTCTCTCGCTCGCTCGCTCCACAAAATAATTACAGATGGCATCTCATTTCGATATAACATATTTATATAGTATCAAAATAAATAGTTTCAATACCATCGGTTCTGTTTCTGTATCAATTGACTGTATCGACTCAGCTATCACGAACGTTTTCTGGGCATTCCGCAACACGACGGATTTTGTACTTCTCCTCGGCCGGTCTATCAATTACACTTCGCGATCATCGCGCACATTACATCAACCGCCGGTCGTTTCTTATGCCGATCTAATGTGTGATCCTGTACAACGATACACGCAACTCGAAATAACCGAGCCGATTATGATTGTGAAAAGATGGAACGCTTTGCGGACTCACAATTTGTAGTTCTTGAAGCTCACACACGCTTCACCCGCTTCGTGCAGCCGGTGGTGCAACCAGCGACCGGTACTCGTACATTACTTATGGCAGGGGTTGCTACAAGCTTGTTTTCTAGAAGTTGCTAATGATAGTGTTACTTCCCGGTGACGGCCTGAAACCTGGGTAAGCAAAGACCGAACTTGGTTTCTATACCCGTGAAAATGGGCAGGGCTACTTGATAGCCGCCTATGTGATCTGGGTTCGTTGATCGAATCTCATCCGCGACTCCCATGGTAGGCACCTTAAGCTCCGATCCGCTGGGTCGACTGCAAATAACATCAAGCATTAGTTACTTTTGTAAATTAAGCCACAAATGTTTCGTAACAACAAATTTCAAGATTCGTGTAAACAGTAATTAATCTATATCTTGGATTTTGACACATTTTGTTTAAGTATATGTTACATATTATATTATTACTCAAAGTAAAAAATTATTATATTGATGCAAATTCGAGTAGAAATCTGTCAAATCGAAATTTAATCAGTTAAATTAGTTTATTTATGTTAATCGTATACTCACGATCCTCCGAAATCGACGACGAACAGCCTTTGCAGTACCTCGTACGTGAAGAGAGTGACACCAAACTGCGGTGATGATCTGAACACTCGAGCTGCAAACAGAAAAAGAGATGTGACATTGCATACATAGTCTTACAACGTACACGCACAAGTTTCATTCTTTGTCCAAATAAAGATTTAGGACGCTCCGATGACAAATATGTTGATGGCTGTTTAATTCCTCTCGTAGAGAACGAGATAAAACGGATATCATGAGAGATGACAATTACACAATTTTAATTTTTTTTTTTTACACCGATGCGATTATTTTTATTTATCACGCGGTTAATTTCATGAAACGAGACATCTGTAAACGAGTATTAGCCATAATTGAAAAATTACTGGATGAACAATGAATCCGGAGTTGAAGACTTGAGGTGATGCAGCTGAAAATTATTTCGCAGCTGAATGTTAACGTTCGCAACTAACTGATCGATCGGCTCTTGCAGGAGTTACAGCTAGAAATGTGTATGGGGATGCGGATACGTTATATTCGATGATCGTTCTGAATACAAACAATAAGTGATGCTGACTGCAAATTGAAGGAAACGAGAACACAAACAGACATAAATCATAAAGGAAGGCGAAGAGAAGAGGTACTTACTGATAAGTAAATCGCCGGGTCATATTGGGGAGTAAGGTCGAAAGATGCAGCAGGGTGGTCCCCCGCGCATGCAATCGACCAAAAGCAGAATATATTACTCACTATACTTTGTAGATTGTAACGCGGAAGAACCGTAAGAATTTTATTTCTACTCTCAGAAGATTAAATGCATTGTAATTGAATCGAAATAATCATACGTAAGGAAAGCTCTACAACTGTATTTGGTAAACAAAAAAAAAAATTATCCTTTTTGTGTAGCTTACTTATTTTTTTCCGCGACAGCCATCCTACTGATATATAAAGTATGATATTAGCATATTCTTTTTTTTCAGATCTTTAAGCAAATTTCCCAGTGTACTTATGCAGGGATGGTAAAAATATTATTTGCCTCGAGAGAGAGAACTTTATTTGTAGGAAATACATAGCAAAATGATATACCTGTCGCGCCCTTCCAAAACGCCCTGGCACCTTCTTCCTTATAAATTTTTCTCGCACAGTCCAAGAGTCCGTTGTATGTGGTTTGGCCTTCTCTAGCTACGACCTGCGACACGATAACGAGATTACAACGGGATTGCGATTTTTTTTTTTAAATATTGGTAGCATTAAACCAAAATTGCACCTGTAATCTCGTTTTTATTACATCCGCAGGAGTGACCAGCGCTGCTGCAGGTACACCGGCGATGGCACCGGAAACGAGGAGCGACAACGGCGTATTGTAACCCCCTTCGTCGGCCAATCGCGTTTTCGTATGAGCATACATAGGAAAGTAGATCGCGCTAAACGGCACATCCCGCAAAAAGCAGGCCCTAGCACCCTGCAAGCAAGTTACAACTGTCGTTAGCACAAATGAAAGAGATACCGGTAAGATTATTATTACTATACTTACTTTGTATAATCCAAAAAGACCTAATTCCTTGACGACGGCCCACGCTCTGACCTTCGATCCTCCTGCGATTTCTCCAGCTACCTGTAGCCGAATCTTTACGATTTCTAAAGGATTAGTGAATATGACCTGCGATCCTCCAGCCTGTGAAAAACATAACACTTTGTTACATAAAGTCTTTTGCACAGCGAATTACACAGATGTGTGTAATCATCCAAGTCACTGCAATATTTAATTATTTATATATTTTATACTTTATAGTAAGCTCTTTATGCTTATCTTACATTTCGTTCTTATTTAATCGAGAACTTTAAGCTATTATAAATACGAGAACGTGAAATACTCACGCAAGCACCAGACATAATTTCTCCTAACAGCGGTAAATTTCCATTTTTATCCATAAACTTGTCCCTGACGAAATCGTTAACTGTAAGTTTAATAGCCTTTTCCGGGGCTACTCCCATCAACTGAGGCATCAGACCTCGATAAAGACCGAAAAAACCTTCATGCCGGATCACCTGTCAAACGTAAAACACCAGCTTTATGATTAACAATGCAGAAAGTGTTGCATGACGGGACTTTTCAATTCCAACCTTTTTACAGCAATCAAAGCTGTTTCTGTACATCAGCTCGCCTATAAAGGATCCGGTCCTCTGGTTCTGCATTCTAGTTTTCACCAAGTCGATAGGATACACAGCCGTAGCGCCAACGGCTAAAAAAAAACACGATTATTGATTAATTTCATTAATAGACATATAATTCATTGATGTTAAAATATACATTTTATTAACTTTTATGCCTTAAAATCTTATATCGTTTAATAGGTCTAGAACTTTACTACGATACATTAAAACCTTATATTTTAGAATTCTAGACCATTTCTTTGTTTAAACCAAATAACATGATATAAGATTCTGCGACATAAAAATGAATAAAATATACATTTCATATCTGTACTTTTCAAAGATTGAACTGCACTAATCGAACGCATTTACATATTTAAGCTTTATTATCCAGATCTAAAAGAAGGAAGAAGAAACTTGGATACGTACCTCCACCGATGGAACCAAGCACGAACCGATATCCGCTTTCAAGCAATTGTACCAGAATACCGCGCTCATCTGGACTCTACAACATAACAATAATCTTACTGAATTAAGTGTCAATTAAACAGGCATTGACTTGAACGTTTTTCTTGTTTCGCTAAACTTACCGATACTGCTTTAATCTCGGCAACGCGTTTTGTAATCTGCTTAAAATACTGCTCGGGTGTAATAGCCACGAGGTCATTGTACACGATCTTCCTGAAATGAGAGAAAATGCGAGCTCAATACGTATATCGGAGTTGCAGCTGCGAAGCATAAAATGTGAAGAAAAGTACACTAGTATAATCGTTAAGAAAACAGATGGATTGGCGTCGATGGCACTGTTTGAAGCGATACTAAATAGAGTCCTGCCAATACGATCCATCGTGTGTCCTTAAATCATGTCTGTCTTAATATAGGACAGTAATGGAATTGTTAGTGTATCCACCATGTGCAAATATTTGCGTATACCACCATCCTAAGATAGATATTGAAGAAAAAATAAGTGAGAATAAAAGTGTCATTAAAAATAGGCATATATATAAATATATATATGACATATTATAGCACGTGATGATAGTCTGTAATACAAAGACGCACCCAAGCCACGAATCTGCCTCGTCATCTTCCGTAGATCTGATCCAAGCAGCGTAAACACGTAAACAAACGCTTTCAATACAAGAAATCTCGTCTCAATATTGTTCAAATATCGAAAAATAATATATTTAAGCATTGCAGGCATAGAAGGCGATTAGGAATGATTTGCTCTGTAGGATAGTGTCCATCTTCATTGCCAAGAACGAGACACACTTGACATTTTGGATGATGACGATGTGCTTGCTGGTGCAACGATAGCATTACGTGACTTGCTCTCTTTTTGTATTTGTCGTGTTGACCGAGATGGGCGCATGAGAAGCGAAACGCTTTTTGATTAATAAACTCCAACTTAGCCTAACCTTTTTGTTGCAATTAAAACAATCACCCTATTCCACGACATCTTCTCTCGATCAACCGATAAAAAGAATATTCGAACGTTCAAAATGAAAATACTCACCCAGTTTGATGGAGCAAATCGCAAAGATGAAACAGGATGTCTACTTCCAATGGAGTTATCTGGGACATCATTTGTGCAGAATAAAGAAATTCCTCTGGCAACAAAAATTTATTCAAATGTTAATATTACTATTATAGTATTGAATCAATAAAATAATTTATTCGTTTCTTAAATTCAATAAAAAAATAAAAAACGAAAAGAAACTTTCTAGTTAATTCATTAACAATCATTTGTCTGCATATTTTCTTCTTTGAATAATTAAAAAAATTTTTTAATTAACTTGTAATTTTCTTATATTAAAATATATTACCTTTGGTCACCTCCTGATATCTATGGCCATTGGTCGCATTCAGGTAGATACGTTTAATGAGTTCCATGTTGTTTAGAAGTGAATTGAACGCCATAAAGTACGGAAAACTGACTTTGCGTCCACTTTGGCCGGCGCCAACTGCCTGCAATGTATGAAAATAAAACTCTTTACGCAGCAGCCATGTGTTAAGCGTTCCGATAGATTTTGATATTTTACGCCGGTATAGAAATAACTTGGACGCAAAGGTTAATAATTATTAACTTATAATTAGCAAATGTTCCGTAGTATATCAAGCACATATAATGTAATTAGTGCTTATTTTTCGCAAAATCAAAGATTACAAAAATAACACAACATTCAAAAATTAAATTCTCAAGTTGCAGAATATTCTATTGACATAATATTATACTTACAGCAATTAGATTATCCCTCACATCTTTCGTGAGCAGATGACTCTTAATACTGATCATGATATCTTGAAAATCTAATGCTGAGATGAAACCTGCGCTATCCTTATCGAATTTCTTAAAAGCTTCCGTTGCGTATTCTTCATGAAAGTCCTAAAAACAAACATTTTTTTTAATATAAATTTTTTTATATTTCTATATCGCAATCCGCAATTACTTTTTTAAAATTACAATTATTTTCGTAGTAAAAAATTTAACTGTCGTATCGTCTTTCGAAAATTCAATATAAATGCGCGTTTATTTCTCTATTAGAACTCGTGAAATTTAGAAAGACAAAAGAATTTTTTTAAAAATGTAATTTTTAAAGACTTAATTATTTTTTCGTACACATAAAATATTTAAAAAAATTTTTTAATAGAAAATTTCTCAGAATACTAGTCGAATTATATGTCATATACAAAATTATTACGATAGATAACGTAACCGACAACGCGGATACGTATTTCATTATCATTGTCACTAGTTACGTCATCGAAGATAACTTGCTTCCTTGACAAGAATAATAACATCCGCAATGACGCGAGTAATAGAGATACTCACGTGTAAAAACTGGCTGAATTCTGCATAACTGATCAGCCTCTGCTTGTCCTTTCCAAAGTAAAGCTTGATAAAACTACTATCCATATTAAAGGGCATTTTCTGATGTAGCACAGTTTTCCGCATCACCTCAGCGAACTCGTCTGCACATAAACGACAAAGTACATCGTTATGAAGTAGGTATGCATGAATTTTAAATGACAATTTCTTCGCGAAAAGAAAATTCCTTACCAAATGCAACCATTCCATTTCCATTAGTATCAAAGAGTTGGAAAGCTGTTTTGTATAAAGCGTCTGGTACACAGAGGAGACCCTCGAATGCTTGAAATTCGGCAAACGATATGAGCCTGAAACAAAGTAAAAGAAAAATCGATTATGGAACAAAATTCTTTTGGGTAAAAACTTTGAGTTACAAGTTAGTTGATATTTTAATTATATTAATTCCGGTTTAATCATTGTTGAAATTAAAAAAGATATTCAATGACATCAGTGACTCACCCATCTTTGCTAGTGTCGACAATACCAGCGAGTAAGCTGACAGATTCGGGATTGTAATCGGCATCCGTGTAAAGGCCAAGGTAGCTGCGTACGAAGTCAGACGCAGTCATGAACCTCTCGCCATTCTTCTCCTGCGTGGCGTACTGCAATTGCATGAGAAAAAGCGCTGGATTAGCATATGCGTACTTCAAGATAATCGTGACAATAATTGTAATTTGTGCAAAAAAAAAAAACGCTCGAAACTTATGAATACTTTTTATGATACATAAAATTTACTGAAACATGTTTTTCTTACCTGATTAAATATTTCATGGAGGCGTTCAGTATTTGCACGCTTTAAGTACCCGGAACCCTGAAACATGACACACGAAGGATCACATTTACGGCCGATATTCGATAAACTTATAATTGTATCAACAAATATAGAATATTGAACGTCAAACAGAATAAAAGGCAGATAAATGGCTGGCCAGCCGGCAAGCTGTAAAAGCACTGATGATTGATTGATTATCAGACGAATTGATACAATTGCACCAATTTTGATTAAAAATAATACTGAAATAAATTAGGCAGCAGTGTATCTTTTTATATGTCTGCATTGTTGTCTAATTTATTCCAATGGCATTCGCAAAATATTAAAATTGGCACAAAATGATATCAACTCCAGCACTGATTGCGAGGTCTGTGGCCTGTGGAAGGGAATGCTTGGCGTGTATCGAGTGCAGTCACACCGGACATCATTAATGCGCGACTTGCGTGAACGGATAGATGAGCATAAAGGATACTGCGTTATAAATAGTACATCTAGGAAGTTCGATATAAAAAGTAAAAAAAAGTAAATATAAAAATTAAAATAAAATACATTTTTCTTACACAAGTCTTCGTGTACCATAAATAAAAAATTATCTTATGTAACATTCAATTATATATTTCTCCACCTTTTGTATTTTTCTAATTCCACTAAGCATGCCTCTTTTATGAATAAATAACTCATCTCAGCAAAAGCTTCATTACAAAAATATTCGAAATATATTTTTATTACGCACGTGCTGCTTTCTCTCATTACTAGTTCTCTATGTATTTATTTGCGTGCGGCAAATTAGCGTAGAAACAATTATGAAGAGATTATATCTCCCTTTTTACAAAGTGGCTTACAAATGTTGAATAAGAGTTGCGATTATTCCGTGAAAACTCCGGCGACAATAAATGTCGGAGAAAAAAATACAGCGCGATAAGACTCCGAGAATCAAGAAAGATCACCGCAAGGATTCTTAAAATAAAAGACCGCCTACCTAGACTCATCTATAGCTCGCGCTGTCACGTGTCGGGCCTCGGCGGTTCTTGCTACACATGTAGATATATAGCGATTTACAACCGCAAGAGAGACGCCCGTGAATCTGCGATGCAGAAAATAATGGAGTATCGTAGAAATTACGCGAGCATTGCGCGTGCTTGCCAGCATAATAGAAAACGATAACCTGACACGAGGTCAACCGTCTCCTTCTCCTCCCCCTTCCTTCTCCTCAAGCTTGGAAATCAAGGACACGGAATGTACGCAAGTCGATAGAAGAAACGAAAAAAGTAGAATCTATAGCGAAGAACCAATTAGAGCCAACGTAACGGGAATGTTAATATCAATTATGATTGCCGAGATAACGACGGTGCCAAACGCTCCTTCTCTATCCTCCTCCGTGACACACATTTCCTTATTTCCTATTTTTTTTCCCCCCATTATCAACGACGACGAGATGCTTCAAGTGACGTGATCAAGTTACGTGGAGCATCGTGTACAACGCTGATAAGAAAACTCCGTGTCACGGCGCGATACGCCAGAACTACAACCGAGGACGCGAAGCGGATACATTTCTTCTTTTTTTTTTTTTCGCCTTATGCTGAATTTGGCACTGTTGTACACTACGCTTTAGGTCCCCGAGGTCACGCCTATCACCAATACAAGCAAGGAAAGACAACGCCATTCATGGCGCAGTACACGTACTCTCGTGGTCGGCATGCTGCTGCTGTTCGCTAATTGTAAGTTAAAAAGACTCCAGATCCTCGTTATCGATGACGGCCGACCAAAAACGGTGACATCGGACGACGTTACGTCGTGATACGGTTCGCGCGCGCTCGCCCACCGCGTGTATACCGCACGAATACCTGTGTTTCACGGCTGTCTACTTCTCTTTTCTCCTCTTTTCTCTTTCTCTCTCTCTCTCTCTCTGTCTTCGCACAACGGCGTGTATGCGGTACACGTGTGCTGTGCAAGAACGACGGATAAGGAGAAACGGTACTGTGCAACGCGGTACCAGCACGCGAACGTCACGAGGAGACTGAATGTTGGTTCCGCTGATACGGCAGAGAAGAAACGTATCTGTATCCCCTCCTCGTGAACGTTAATTTCGTCTCTCTTGTTTTGCTACCGCTCGTTGTTCCTTGGCCTGACCGGCTCTCCTCTTGCTTTCGCCGCTATTCCCCTTTTTTTTCGCGCTGCTCCTTGCTGCAACCTTGCATTCCTTTCCCGTGCCGAATCCTCGGAGAAAATGTTATGCTTTATCTCCATACGAAAGCGCATGTGTTATCAATTGTACACGAATGAGGTAGCCTCCGCGCTTATCTAGACTTCTTTCTCTCTCACTCTTTCTCAGTCTCTCTGCCCTCATTCATTAGTGTAATGCTAAGTTTAACGTTGTAGTAGTTTGTATAATTTATATCGTAGAACAAAATAAAATATATCAACAGACGAAAAGTATACATTTAGTAATCGAGAAAGAGAAAAACCTCGGAGGTTTTCATGAATAATTGATTCAAATAATTGATTGCTCACACGATGTGTATATCAATTGTTACTTTAGAAAGTCTTTAATCACCGTTACTTTTAATTGCGGTAATAATTTGTATCTTTAATAAATCATTGATTACAATTTCGATATCTTTAATAAATCATTGACTACAATTTCGATATCTTTAATAAATCATCGATTACAATTTTGTTTACATGATTTTTCATACTTTATCAAATATCGCACTCATTTCCGTTTCACACTGACCCAGTTAGTAAAAATAAATCACAAAATAATGCTAGATAAAAAGAAGACTAAATATATATTCAGCTTCAAATTCTGTCGATTATTTTATGATATCAGAAAGGAATAGATTAAAAGGAGTTCAAAAATATGCAATTCAGAGATATATAATTATTAGTCGATATTTAAATTTTTAGACAAGACACTCGAGTCTAAAAGAAGAAAAAGAAACTTGTCGTAATTACAGAGAGATGGAAGGGTATGAAAAATGATTCTACATTGCACATTTAATTTACGGAAGCGCAAAACACTATAAAAATTAGATTTTTTGTTTAATGTAATATTAAAAAAAAAAATTAGTAATTCATTCGAGTTTTGCCTAAGTTTTACAATTAGTTGTACATTTAAATAAATATTAATTCGGCACTTCAATTAAACAGTATAGAATTAATTAAAACCTTGTGCTGACCTCGTCGGGTTCTCCATTCTTCTTCTGACTCATCCTTTCTTTCCTTCATACGAATACGACTGCATCATTGTTTTCCCAAAACATTTTTCGAGCAATATTTATTTCACTGTGACGGAAAACATATTTCCACGTGCTTTGTATCTTATTAGAAACTAGTATTTGTCTGCGCACCTTATTTGCGTTTCGTGTTTCTCGTTTATTACGTATATCAGTACGTCAATATGCCGCTATTACTGCAATTACGAATAACAAAAACACCATTACAAATACTTCAGGTTTATATATGCCAAAGAAAAAACAGATTCCTGGAAAATCAAGATTTAAATAAACAGTTTTCTTAACAAAGAAAACGTATTTAATTATCTCAAAACACAAATCAAGGCTGAAGGGCTAAAATTACACGATTTTATAAGCTTATCAATACTTGTCACGATAATAGTCCTACATTCGCAGACACTTCTCTTGTTACGTTTTTTATAATGTAATGTAATACACAGAATCGTAATGTAGTATACAATTTTTTTATGCTTGCACTTGAGTCTGAAGTCAAGAATTATCAGCTCTCATATCAGTCAGAAATGTCATAAAAAATTTGCTAAAGAAGTTCCGACATAATTATCATATCAATGTCTCGTTTAATAAATATAATCTTTCTAAAATCTATCGCAACAAGATTTACATCTACGTTTTGCAATATATCAAAGAAGTTAACAAGGAGTAATGAAGATTTCGTATCTATATTTATTTAAAACTATTTTGCATTGAGATACAGATAACAAATATTTTTCTTCACACTCGACTCAACTTGACTCTGTCAATTCAGCACAAAGCCCGTCGAATATTTCTCGTTAATTTGCAACAACAATTCATGCGCGGCGCTCGTCGAAGGTGAACCAAAAAATTTCGATACGCATCGATAAATCTGGCGGCTCAATACTTTGCTGTGTGAAAAATATCGAAAAATAAGAGCGAACCCAATCCGTGAAACGAACCAAAAATTCTCAGATCGCCGCACTCATCGACCTATTATCAGCAGCAGCGCGACGTAGGACAACGAAAAAGCGATCATCCTCGAGTCAGTCGAGTTATCTCGAGCACCGTCCAGACCTTACTGATCCCAACCCGTCAACCCGTGAGCGATTCACCGTGTGGAGCTCGCGGATGCAACTGGTGCAAGTTAGGAGCGAAAAGGTGTGGTGGTGCGCGGCACAGGGTCCCCGACCTGCTTAAATGACCGCAAAACTGTCACAGGAGGACCAGATATAACAGCCTAGCCTAGCCTAGCCCTGTAACGCGACGGTGACACGCGGTGATCTCGCCGGCGACTGTAGAAGCGCGAACTGAGATGTTGAGCAATCAATAGTCGCCAATCGAATCTCGCGCATGATAGCGTTGATAGCGCATGTACCTGCTGTTCGTGCGATTGGTCATTTATTTTCGTGAGATCATGACAAATTTGGATCATGACTCGTGGCTCTGGCTTCGATAATTCGATAATGCGCGGAGCGGGTATAAGCGAAGTATTAAAATATGGAAATGCCGGCGAGAACATTAATCGATGCTTACAGCCTTTGCGAAAAAGAGAATTATTTAAGAAACGGGATGCTCGGTTTTAGAATTGCGCTTGAAATTAACTTCTATGATGTCTGATATTTCCATCGATAATTTATTTGTGGAATTGAACGATCCAAATCACTGGCCTTAGCCTGTTTCTAGCGTATACTATTTCCATCAGCCGAGACAAGAAGAGAAAAGCAAAATCAGTGCGAGATGAAGAAGCGACAAGATGAATGTTAGTCGGCCTACATTCAACACACCTATGCAATAATGTACGGTATCGTACAAAGTAGACTTATTTTCAGTGCGCTAAATATAATTTTTCACTATTTCAACGAATATCCAAGCTTTGCACGCGGCAGGAAAAAATTGTACTCTAATAATGACAAAAATAAAAATAAAAATAAAATAAAATTAAAATAAAGCTATCAGAAAATATCTCTTGTATAAAGTTCGAAAGTTCTTTCAAAAGTTCGAAAAGTCTTCAGTAAAAAGAGAAAAAATAAACGTAAAAAGTCTCGAGACATCTCATTTGTAAAAACTTAATAGAGTCGATTATCACGAATGATCATCAGATATAAAAACTTTAGTACGTTTACATCAGAAACATTAAAACTTGTAGTCTGGCATTACGCGGCTATTTATCATTACAAATGATATGCAATTAATGAATAAATTTTCCTGTTTGCACGCAACTTACGCAACGTAATTCGGGAATTAATAGACAGCTCGAAATTAGAACGTTTTGAATATTGCGGGCACGAGTATTTCGGGATTATGTAGCGTCTGACCAATATTTTAGGCCTCTCAATAAGTTATATAATTAACATACATGATTTCAAATATTTAAATCCTCAAACTTGAGAAAAAAAATCGAATCATCGATGAAAATAGGTTAACAAATAGTGCTATCTTTTACAAAACATATACATTGTATGTTATTTAAACAAGTTTATGTCCACTCAGCTTGCTTCTTCACACAATGAAAAATACTTAATGAAGAAATAACATAATTATCTTATTTCTTCATTAAATCGTTATGTGTCGAGCGAACGTAAAAATTTGCCTTTATAATCGACATCAATCTATCACACAACTATAATTTAGCGCAAGCATATCGTTGGTCTCATTATTATTGTTTGCCTACCATTTTCCTATAAAACAACTACATCTTCGTACGTCTTTCAATTTCGTAAAGCGTGATAAGATTTAAGAGTCATTTTATTTCAAAACCGAGGTCAATTGATAAGAGCTCTCTGCAGGGGTTTCGCAGCTGTACAAATCTGACGCAAGTGACAGAAAGTAAATAAAGTATTCATTAACAAAGATGTACAAGACGTTCAATTACGTCAAGGAAGCAGAATTTTCTGTACATATAAAACTATAATTAAAAAAAATATAATCTTTCTCCAATAACAATCGTATTGTATTACATAATTTTATTACTGATTGCTTTATCGAGCAGCGATAAATAAGCAATTGACGTGGAAAATAATGAAATACGTATTCCAACGAGACAAACCATTGTCAAAGCAAAATTAATTACGTTTACATTTCTAAAGAAATCCCATAGCTCTTAAGTATGCAGAATAATATTCGCAATGTTTATAATAAAACTTCTGATTATAAATATTTCATCATGATTAAAGTTGAATCTTTTAGCACCACTTCCGTTACGTATTCACGTACAATCTTCATTCACATGACGCATCTGACTGATTGCGAGATTTTCAAGTTCCGTCCTACTTAATTAACGACAGTGACTCGAAACAGAAGCACACGCGTCGGCTATCCTTCTGTTATGGATAGCTAAGGACATTCGGAATGCTAGATTAGGAATCTGAATGTGGTCACTAGCAAACCATAGGGTGCCGCACAGTCAAAGGGATTAACGAGATCGAGAGTGAGGGTTGCGGCGGCTCACAGTCCCGGTGACCTCGAAACCAAACCGGCCTCGCGGTCGGAGAGGCTCTAGGATCGATATTCGCACCGCCATTCGCTCCAATGCGATGCAGATGTCACTCGACCGTTCCCACTTCCTCGCTATTAAATCGCCGGGAAGCACCACGTCACGCAAACGGTTGTCAAGGTGCAGACTTGTGAGACGAGCGGAAAATCGGAGTCGCTGTTTAATTTTCCCCTGCTTCTCGCTTCCGCTTTTTTTTTTGCACGAACAATCGACGCAGGAAAAGAGAAGGAAAGAGACCAAGAGAGTAAAGGAGAAAGAGAGAGAGAGAGAGAAAAAAAGAGACAATGCCTCCGAGAAGATATGGGAACCCCTGAACGCGATGTAACGAGCAAATATCCTTGAGTGGAAAATCGACAGATTGATGAAGCGCTTTTTCTCAACGTTTGTGCAGCTCGCTGTCAATTTTGTGTCACTGTTATACACATAAAATGACAAAGAATGTATACATCCATCCCGCTATTTAATCGAGATACGCTTTAATTCTTATTCTAAATTTCTGTCTCAATGTCAAAGGTTTTTGGATGTCTAAAAACGAAAGGGCAGCGCAAGTCGAGTGATAAACGCGAAAACTTTTATGATATAAACCAGAGCAGTTCTCGCAAATTTGAGTTTATCACGAGATCATCAATGTGACTCAAGAATCTGTTCATTGAGCTGCGTGTTCCTGAAACATTTTTGCATTTGAAAAGAGCTGAGCACTTCAGTTCGATCGCTTTGCAGAGGCAAAAAAAAAGAAGCAAAGCACAACGAAAACGGGTTCACCTGCGAGAGATTCTCGCGCGGCGAAACGATTATTAGAAGCCACTCGACGAATCCCCGAGCAGCCTTAAATCGCGACTTTTCAGCGTCTCGAACTTTCGTGCAAAAGGCTTCTAAAGGCGCGACGTGAAACGGCGCAACGAAGCCACCCCGACACTCGTCCAAGGGACGCATAAACGCGCGATATGCACACATCCGTAAAACAGACACACACATACACCTGTTTGCGCGCGTAGTGAAGAAGATAATTAACTAAACTTACCCACCTCTTGGCAGGATGCTCGAACGACAAGCGAGTCCTTCAACATTCCCAGCAGGAAGTTTACCTCGAGCCTTTCCGTCACGAGCGATGAATATGGTCCTCGCAGGGAGAAACGAGAGCAGCCACAAGGAGGCGACGCAGGTGCTGGACCGTGAATACAATTGCGTTCAGGATTGCACTAATCTCACAAGCACTCACACGTTCCGGCAGGCACTACTTCCGGGAAGCGGCGGCGACTGCATGCGACCGATGCGGCGAGATCGCGGAACATCAATCCGTACGGACAGCGGCGCTTACCTGGGCTTTAAAAACACTGTACAAAGCGGAAACCGACATGCTACTGTGCGAACAATCGACCATGTAGCGCCATCTCGGCGCGGGCAGCGTGCATCAAAAACGAATGGCGCTGCAAACAGATTCACGGCGTACCGACGAAGATAATCAACTATCACGCGTGTTCAATGGCGGTGCGAAGCAGCGAAGATACACGTGGTTAAAATATAGAAATTTTTGTAAAAATTTCGGAATAGAGATTCTTTTTAACAATCTTTAGCATATTGCTTAATAAATTATTGATATGGCAAGCACGGGGTGCTCCGCTTTCTCTCAAGACGGTCAATATTACGCGTTCTGCGGTTCTGACGGCAAGTTAAAAATTTGGGAGACCGCGAACGGCCGATTGAAGCACGAATATACACCTAATCGTCACTTATCATCGCCCTGGAGCGTCTTAGAATGGATCTCCGTGAGCTCGCAACCGATGGGCAATGTATCGGTAAATCTTGTGTTTTCGAATCATATAAATTGTCGTTCTGTTTTTATTCTACTTCATTATTCTGACATATTTCTTCTATTCATATTGTATCCCTTTCTTAAAATTATCAATATATTTTCAACAAAATTATGCTAAGTGTGCGTTATATTTCATCTTTATATCAATCAATGATTTTTGCAAAGATGTCAAGTGAACAATGAGATTTTTATTATTACTTGAATATATATACCAAAAGAGAAACGAGGAAATATTTGAGAAATATCTACATCTTAAGTATATATATTATAATAATAAAATGTCTTTTATATTATTTCTTTAGCCAACAGCAAGAAAGAGACGCAAAAGAAAGTCAATTTCAGAAGAAGCAGACCAGAAAGCTATAGTGGCAATGGGTTCAGTGAATGGAAAGATCACTTTGTACGACATAGCCGCTGCCTCTGTCGGCGCTACGTTGGAAAATGGCCATTCTACCACTGTCACAGCAATGACTTGGTCAGCGTATGCCGGATTGATTACAGCAGCTGATGATTATCATATAGTAGAATGGAATCTTCAAGAGAACGGAATCAAGTGTAAATGGAAATCGGGCAAAGCAAAAGTTACAGCTCTAGCAATTCTATCAAATGGAAAGTCCTTACTTTCTGCGGAAAGAATAATCAAGTGGTGGAATTTAGCGACAAAACAATTGATTCGCACGTTCACAGGACATGCCAATCAAGTTACTTTTCTTCATGTTATAAAAGTAAATGATACAACCAATTATTTAATCAGCGGTGCCAGTGCGGATGGTCATCTTTCTGTATGGGCATTAGACAAGGTATATATTTGTTGCATCCCATTTCGAAGCTTTTCCAATTTTGTAGATTATTATATGTTAAAAAGCAGATTTTGGTACACTTTATAGAAGATATATAATATCACTTTTTGTTTTTCCGTTTAGCATAAAAATGACAAAGCACCGGTAACAACATTAGCTATGCAAGATGAGGCTACATCTGTTTCAACACTTGGCATGGAAGAATCACAAATTGTTGTATTAGCCACTATTCGATCAGGTCAAGCGCAACTGTTCAAATATCAACCAAATGGTCACTCAAAACCGTTGAAACCGTCTTTAAGTGTTGCGGTTGCAGCAGATATCAGTCAGAAAGAGACCGTTCAACAGACTCCTATTTTAGCAGGGCAATTAACAGAAGATGAAAAGTTATTATTAGCATACGGTAGTTACTCGAACTTGACATTCGAAAAAGTTACGCCCGATTTTTCAGACAAGGTACAATGTTTGATCAGATCGGACGCAAAAAAATCGAAAGAAAAGAAAGAAGAGGCAGTTTCTAAAGTTAAAAGTACAGCGATAGAAGGAAATGTTGAATATCTTGCACCAGGTAATATCTTTTATGTATTCTTTTCTTATTTTGTTCGCTATTAAAAGAAGTAATTCGATACAATAATATGTCAATCAATAATAAAGAATAATGGGGAAGAAAAAATAGAGAAATAAAGCAGAAAACTATTCTATTGCAGGAATGGGAGTCCAGTCACAGAAACGAAATAGGACCACTTCGGGTTCTCAATTACTATTAAAAGACAGATTGGAAAATCTTAGTTTGAACACGGACGCAAACACGCCGAGAAGGACACCGACGAAAGGGGCGAACACACAGCTACTGATGCAAGGATTGAACAGCAAAGATAAAACGATTTTGGCGACGGCGTTGTTCACAAAAGACGAAACTTTAATTCGTAATACCATCGCAAAATTACCGGTGCAAGCGATAACGCCGTTACTCAAAGAATTAACCGTTATGTTGCAAGGCAAAACGTACGCGTAATTATATTATCATAATATGTCGTTATTTGTGAATTTGTCTAAATTCTCATTTGAGACGATATAAAATTTGTGTAAATTAAAGCGAATTTATTCGTCTGCGTTTAGGAGTAAAATCGCGGTGATGTGGTTGCAAGCTTTGATCACGACTCATGCCGCGCACTTGATGTCACGACCAGACATCGCGGAGATCCTTAGCCCTATTTTAAGCTTTATCGATGCGAAATTGATGCTTGTGACAGCCATACAAAGATTGAGAGGTAGAGTTTCCCTTATAACAGGACAAATATCTCAGGCTAAGGAAGAACACAATAAAGATATAATGCAGGAGAGTATGCTGGTTTATCAAGATTCAGGTTAGTTGGATATATTAATATTCTAAAATTGAATTAGACTTAACATGTTAAATGTTACTCAAAATGTTGATTTGTGTTATAGATTCGTCAGATGAAGGTGCTGACAAAGACGATGTTGATTTGAACAGCGTGAACAGCGAATCTGACGAAAATTGGGCAGAAATGTCAGATCAGGATGTTCAAGATGAGCAGGATGAAGAGGACATTAGAAGTGTTAAATCAGAAGATAACGATGTGTATGACGATGATTCGATACACAGTTGAATTCAATCAAACTGGTTAGTAAAGAAATAAGTCACACAAACTATTGATTTATCGAAAAAACATCGTAATTATAATATCAAAAAATTTAGAATTATTTTTATCTTCTAAATATTTCTGATGCAAACATGCATCGTTAAATAAGTAATTTTACACTGAAAACATTGCACTCGATTTTAGAGATATAAAATAATAACATTTTTTTCTCAAAAATAAACATTAATTAATTAGTGCGAAATTTATTACATTGATATTTAGTTTAGAGTTTTTATTTGTTGTAAAACATTAAAATTGCGGACTTCTTGCCGTAAACTATATTATTTTTTATATATGTAATTATTTCTTTTAGTGACAACTTTAATTCATCCATCTTTACAATGAAGCCATTTTTAAACGGAGATAATAAAATGTAAAGAATATTATTCTTTTCTTCTCCAGACACTTATTTTCGTTGCTATGTGAAATGGATCTGGGAGAAAAGTCAAATATAAAGAAGCCTTTAATAGCTGGTGTGTTTCTTTCATTCATAACAATCCATCATTTTCTATCCAATTTTAAAGAAATGTACGATCATATAATTTTATATTGGTAACTAATAAGTGACGATAAATTTATACCTTTTTTTATTAATCCATGAAACCGATGTGTAAAGATACTATATTTAAATATGAAAATGTAAAATAAAAATATTGTTTTTATAAATAAAGCTTGAAGTATACAATATGTACGATCGTAAAATTATACTGATAGTTTCTTCAATGAGTAAAATAGTGTTGATTGTTAAAGAGTTTATTAAAGCATCATTAATTAATTTTTATTAATTATTTCGCATTTTTAATATATCTAACATATATCATTCTAATGACACTGTTAGAGATAGAGTTTGTGATGGCAAAAATGGTCTAATGACTTCTAATACAACTACTTAATATATTTGTCTATACATTCAATATTAAAAAATAGAAGTAACATAGCTTTTTCCAATTTACGTAATTTTTAAAACATCTTGATTTAATTAATCAGTCTATCTGATTAGACTAATTACATTCTGGTAAAATAATTCATAGCAGATTTCATATTGAATAAATCAATTAATAAAGAAAATTTTAACTAAACTTGAATTTTTTAAAGAGATATACAATGTTTTTCACTCTATCGTCTTACTCCTTTTTAAATATTGAATAATAAGGAGAACTGAGATACATAGGACAATTTAAGTTACAGCTAAAAATTATTCAAGTTTAAAAAAATGTTATTAATTTCACGATTTTTGAAACTTTTTGGAAAAATTTCGTTTAAAGAGATTTTTATGGCTTAATTTGTTTATACGCAATTTATAAGGAATCGTCACTCCTCTCTCAATTGTATCGTTCGACCGCTCTATGTAATGGAAAAATACAAGTATATGCAATCTCATTTACGTTAAATTCGGACTATATCAATATTTATTGCTTGTGCAATAAATTTTGTTATTTGGAATTTTTAATCATCCAGCAATTATCAAAGAATGAACTTGATAAACTTTGAAAAACCGGCTGGTCGCGCGATTAACTGGCGCGTGTCGTCAAGCATTAGAATACGTATATCTACACGATTGCACACGACACCCCTACAACACATATGTCTCAAGCTAAAAGCTTGAGAACAATGCGATTCTTTTAACCCCACATTTATATAGACAATGTCTCAAATCCTATTTTATATAATCGTTTCTTTGTTTCCAAAAATTTTGTAATTTTATGTAATTACAAATTCGTAACTATAATTGCAAGTTTGTAATTGCAATTTGTATGAGTATTATGCAACTAATAATAATAATTGATTTTGTGTTATCTGTAATGTTTTTGTATAAGTAAAAAAATATAACAAATATATAATGAATAATTTCTTTTCCATAAATATTCTTTAATATCCTTACTTACTATCCAATATTATTTTTTTGCCAAATTTCTTACCTAATTCAAACACGATCCTGTTTTTTATTTAAATTTTTATCATAAAATCCCCAATAAGCAAAAAGTGAGCAATATTGACAAACGGATAGAAAATATGCTGTCAATCTACCAACATGCTAACAGAGTCTATTAATTAACAGTAAATGTTTATCTATTTTCATAAATTATCAGCAAAATCAGACAAATAAGATATAGTTTTTGTAAAAATTCTTTAATTTAAAAGATATTTATATAGGATGTACTGTGATAAAAAAGTTGCAGTATTTTTTTATTTTCTTTAACAATAATATTTATTTTAAATTAAAAAAACAAGTTTTTTATACTGTTATTTGTGAAGATTAATATACGAAGAAATATATATTTTTTCAAATATTAAATTAAACTCTTGTACTAAAAATAATTGATATCTTCGTATTTTTACTTAAAAAAATAGGAATAAGAAAACTGAAAGAAAGAAAGATGATAAACGTTAAAATTGCGAAATCAAGAGAGGCTCGTTTCTTTATTATTAATGCAATAATCATGTTTACGCGTAGGAATTTCACTTATAGTGACATATCTTTATATGGAGAATATAGGTACCGCCTTAAATATGTTTATAAATATCTTAATTACACAAGTTGTTATCACACATACTAGCTTGAAGCGGAGCAAAGCATGAAAAATACAGACATAACAACTAATGAAAAATAAGCGTATGACATAAGATAACATGTTACACTTGTTACACATGTTAGACTTCTGCTACAAATTTCTAATTAATCCAAAAATACGAGAATACGAATTAAATTTATACATACTTATATCGTGTATAATTATGCGTATTGTCACAAAACTACAATAAAAATTATAAATTAAAAAAAAAAATTATATTGGACATCTAAGAATAAATTTTAAAAGATTTTCATTAATTATGCGTCTATAGAGAAGTTTTTTATGAGTTAAAAATGATAAAAATTGAATGGATTTTTACGAGACTTAATCTCTGTTGATGTAATGTAATCAATAAATTTTTATTTTTTGATTATTTGATTTCGTATGGACTTTAATAAGCAAAATTTTAATGTCGAGATATGGATGCTAAAAATAGTAAACAATCAAATTTATTTAAGAAAAATTCATATTTCAAGACTAATGAAAAAATCTATGAAACACTGTTATATTCTTACAATTTTTTGAACTTGTCAAGATGTACATATTACAGTAACGTTAATTAACGTTAATTTTTCGAAATCGAAATAATTTTATAAACGCAAATTATTTTATAGACAAGAAAAATAATAGTTTATCCACTTATGTGCGCATAATCACGACATTCATAGATTTTTAATACTCTTTTGCGCTCGTAATCAGTGTTTTCGAGTAAAGTTGCAGGAATAAATGTGTCAAAGGGTGGAACACGCTAACAAAGATAACGAAAGAAAAAAAATGGGCGGAACACAAACAGGTCACGACTTAAGGTCAATTGATTGAGTCGAAATCATGGCATTACCGGTATAAAAGCAGGCAACGGTCCAGGAGCCAGCCATCGTTCCTCTTTGCGGAGGTAGGTAGTTGTTAATTGAGACTGAGACATCGAGGGCTGAACGCGATGCTGAAGGAGCTGCTGTTGTTAGCGCTGACGGCGCTGTGCATGTCGGATGCCATCCGCATCACCAGCAAGACGGCCGACATGGACTTCCTCCATAAGCAGAAGAAAATCTACGAGCTGATGTTATTCGTCAAGCAGAACACCCTCACCGACATGGAATTCTACGACATCGGCCGCAACTATGACATCGAGAGTAACATCGACATGTACAAAGACAAGGTGCCTTAACTTTAAATAATTCATTTCTACATATTTTTAAAAAACGTAAAGAAAAATATGTAAAAAAATGCTGCATTTATTTTCGCGCCCTGATTAGAAAATCAGAGTATTGTGCTAAAAATTTATTTCGCACGTCAATCACACTTGTGTCTTCTTTCGCTTATATTGTAGTTCAATAATTATATATAAAAAAAATCTCAATTTTGTCTATCAGACATGTCTTTTAGACTTTTATATTTTTTCAGATTCGACGATACATTCTCGTGTCGTTAATTAATTTTTTTCCTTCTTTTTTTTCACAGTTGATCGTTCAGGAGTTCCTGTACTTGTACAAGCAAGGCATGATGCTTAGCCGCGATGCCATTTTCTCGCCGTACAACGAGGAACATCGTGAGGAGATGAAACTTTTCTTCAAACTCCTATACTGCGCCAAGGACTTCCAGATTTTCTACAAAACCGCCGCCTGGGCGCGTCTTCATCTCAACGACGGCCTCTTCACGTCCGCCTTCACCGTCGCTGTCTTTTACCGTCCCGATTGCAAGTACATGAGACTGCCGGCGCCCTACGAAATCTATCCCAATCTGTACTTCGATAGCACTGTCATTCAGCAGGCTCACGACATCAAGATGACTCGTGGTAACACACGTAAGGACACGATTCTATTCTAATGCAGCAAACAAAATTATACAAAGTAATCCAAAACTCGCAAATATATTTTTTAATCCTAAATTTTCTAACAAATTTCCTGCTTTTTGGTCAAATTTTAAATTATGATTAAATTTCTCTTCAACACAAATGTCATTGAAATAAACATTTACATATTTTAGAACATCCTGTACACCGGTGTACATAAATGCCTTTTTCTTTCGCAAACAGATCTCACCACCACCAACATGGACAACATCGACAGCTACATGATCTACGCCAACTACTCCGGACACTTCGTCAAGCCCTACTTCGACGACGAGTACAAGATGGACTACTGGATGGAGGACATCAGCTTGAATGCCTACTATTACTACGCCCGTAAAGTAATGCCGTTCTGGCTCGACATGAAGAACATGGACATGCCGAAAGAATTCCGCGGCCACTTCTACTATTTCCTGCACAAACAACTGCTGGCCCGCTACTACCTGGAACGCCTCTCGAACGATCTGGGCGACATCGAGGACTTCGACTGGGACAAGGCCTTCTACCCCGGCTACTATTCGACCCTGATGTACGACAACGGAATCGCCATGCCGCAACGCTCTCGCTACATGAACGTGCCGTTCTACAAGTACGAGCACTTGAAGGTACGATCTATTTGTCCGTCCTTCGTTTCGCGCCGCGAAACCACTTTATCCTTGTGAATGCATTTACGTATATCCTTGCAGGACATCGAGGCGTTGGAGATGCGCATCATGAACGCCGTCGATCTCGGCTACGTATACGACAAGACCGGCAAGCAGATCAACATCTACACCCCCGAGGGCCTGGAGATCCTCGCGAATCTGATCGAGGGTAACGTGGACTCGTGCAACTGGCGCTTCTACGGTATGTACGACGCCCTCGCCCGCGACATCCTCGGCTTCAACTTCGACTACAAGGACAAGAACAAGATGATCCCGAGCTCTCTTCAGTGCTACAGCACCAGCATGAGAGACCCGGGCTTCTACCGGCTGTACAAGAAGATCATGACGTACTTCCTCAGGTTCGCGCGCGCGCCTATCTCCCTTGATCCCGCGCTCAGAATCGGTGCGCGCAATCTCACTCGATTTCTTCTCGCAGGTACAAGAAGTACATGCCGTACTACACCCAAAACGAGCTGATTTTCCCCGGCGTCAAACTCGAATCCGTAAACATCGATAAGCTGCTGACCTACTTCGACAACTGCGATACGTTCATCAACAACGCCGTTTCCGTGGAGAGCTTCAAGGACGGCATGAAGCTGCGCATGAAGGTGCGCCGCCACTGCCTGAACTACAAGCCCTTCACCTACCGCTTCAACATCAACAGCGACAAGGAGACCAAGGCCATGCTGAAGATCTTCCTCGGACCCGCCTTCGACGACGTACACATGGACAAGGACATATCTTACTTGCGCGATTACTACAAGTACTTCGTCGAGATGGACAAATTCATCGTAACGCGTAAGTCGACTGCTCTCTTTCATTTTTCTTTTCTTCTTGGAAAAAAAATTAACGCTTCTCTTTTCTTTCAGTGAGACAAGGCACGAACAGCATTGAACGTCGCAGCTCCGACTCCATGTACACCATGTCCGACATGATGTCCGGCGATATGTTCTACAAGAAACTGGAGAAGGCGGTGGGCGGTAGCGAGCCGTTCACCTACTACGAGAAGCTCTTCGGCTTCCCCGAGCGTCTGACGCTGCCCAAGGGCAAGCCCGAAGGTATGCGATTCAAGATGTTCTTCTACCTGAGCCCGATCGACGAGACCAAGATGACGACCGTGGAGCTGCCGATCTTCGGCAAGAGGATGATGGACGGGAAACCGCTCGGCTTCCCGCTCGACAGACCGATGTGGCCGTGGAAGTTCCTCACGCCGAACATGCTCTTCAAGGACGTGCACATCTACCACACGATGGAGAACGAGAAAACGATGAACTTCTAAGTTACCTCCCGAGCTAGCTGCCAAACTTCCGCTTATTCAAAAAAAAGATCATGATGATAATTGTCGTTTAGAAACTCTCTATCACACAAATATATAGATCGCATGACTTCCTTCAATAAAGAATGCTGATAAAATATATATAAAAATCTATTTTTTTTAACCCACCTTTACTCTCCCTCTCTCTCTCTCTTTCTCATTTTTACATTATGAATCTCAAGCGGTTCAAAAATTCTTCACTCTCTTAAAGCATTGCATTTTGCGACATACTTATACGTTTTATTTCCGATTAATTTAATGTTTGCATTTATAAATTAATTATTAATTATTTCGTGTAATTTAATCTCGATCTTTTGAAACAATGTGAGGTTTTAAAAATAAATTTTTTAATAATTTAATTTAGCAGTTATAGTTTGATAAAAATGTTTTATGTAAGAATTTAACTTTAAGCAGCAGTTGAAAACAACTTACATGAAATAAGCGTGTACAACTAAAAAAAAAAAAAAATAATTTTGACGACAAAACAGAAAACATGTCACGCCACTGAAAGCATATGGAAAAGCCGGCAAGCGCATAAAAATAAAATTATAACAATTATGTAACTGAGCTGTATATAAAATGTATATCTAAAATACATTTCATTCTCTACAAAAGTAAAGAATAAAAATTTTAAAAATTTTTAAATAAAAGAAAAAATTTGCAAGCATTTATACCTATTATTAAAATAATTATAGCAGTCAACCACAATAAAACATTTATTTCAAATGTTTTTGATAGACTAGTTGTTTTGTGAAAACTATGAAAAGGTAATAAGCATCAAAAGCACAAAAAGTTATCTATGGATGTTTCAAATTCTTTCCTCATAAAGCGCACTTTATTAGCACTCAATTTCCTTTTTATATCAAAAGATAATTTTTAAAGCAAATTATAAATATTATTTTGTTCAAATTAAAATTTTCCTATATATTGAAAAATACTATGATTTATAAAATAGATATAGAAGAGATATAAGACCTATAGACAAAATAATAAAGTTTATTTAAAATTTAACGAGAAATAAAATTTTCTTAACTTATTGTCTTTCTTGATCATTCCTCTCTTCTCATTTTATAAAATTCTCTAAATTTTTAACTATTTGTAAGTAAAAAAACTATTGACATTTACATTAATTTAACAATTAATATAAAAAATTAGTTATACATTTATGCAACGCGAAAAGTAAGTAAAAGCTTGTTTATTCTAAAGACTGAACAACGCTTCTTTAGATTTTTGTGTTCTCTTATAAATATTTCTAAAATAAGAACTTGTTATGTGTAAAATATGAAAATATAAGAATTCTTTATCTAAAATAAAACTTCTATTACAAAAATTCTCAAAATGTTTTTAATTATTAATTACCAAAATTAGTGATTAATGTCCTTTATATACATAGAAATTTTGATATTCTGAGAGATTGAGATTTGAGATTCTGTTTCTTATTAACGGTCAATTTAATTTATTTTCATTAATTATTTAATCGTTGTTATCAAAAGCTTTACATACGAATAATATGTTATGTAATCCCTCTTAGGTGATAGTTCATATTTTCGTATCTTAAAACAGTTAAGCATATTATTTATAACACTAATCGCAAAGCAACAAGTTGTATGTGTGTTATATATTCGTTATCGTATCAGCGTCGTACGAGAAGCCTGCAATTAAAACGATAGCTATTTATCAATAAATAATACGAATGCTTGCTCAGCTTATTCTGGGTTTTTTATGCAAGTTTCAATTATTTAGAAAAATGTATTATCAGGGTATAATTGTGAAATTTAATTATATGCTAAATATTATTATTATTATTCGTTGTATAAATTACATTCTGTTAAATAATTAATTTTTTAATTATTTTTCCGATTTGTTTGAAATAAATTAACTGGAAACTTTTGCGTATGATAATAAATTAAAGTTTGTAAATATTTCTATAAATTATTCCTTTTCTCTTTGCTGAGAAAAGACTGAAGCCACAGATTAAAATCTTTAAAAAATAAATAATTATAATATATAAATAATATATATATATTAATTATAATATATAAAATAAATTTTTACTTCTCACAAAAAAACCAATTTTGTTATGTGATTTATTTCGATCCTGTTGCCGACAGAAATCAATATCATCATGTTTTTTAAAAATATTGGAGAAGTGAAAAATTAAATTTATTATTTTAATCTAAATTTTATATTTATTTTAATTTTAAAAATTTCTTTACGCTTATAAATAACGTGAAATATGACGTGCCGAATATTAATCTCGGATTTTTACCATGTCAAAGGGTAAATGATTACCGGTAAAGATAATTGTTACACAAACAAGGGCATGATTGGTTCATTATCGGTTATCTCACCGGTCCCCCAATCTCATTCCCAAATTTTCCGCACTTCTCTCGTCTGATTTTGCATGGAAGATTGGTATATAAAGCAACTCGTGAATAAAGTCGGCCGATCCTTCGCGAAGCAACTATCAGGATGAAAGCGGTTGTGTTGTTCATAGCGGCGGCATGTCTCGCTGATGCCACGCAGGTGCCCACCCGCACCGCTGATAAGACGTATTTGATCAAGCAGAAGAGCATCTACGAACTCTTCTGGCACGTCGACCAACCGACCATCTATCATCCGGAGCTCTACCAGAAAGCGCGATCCTTCAGCATCGAAGATAACATTACTTCTTTTACGGACCAGGTACATATTAATACATACATCGATAAGTAATATGTAAAAGAAAGTAATTGTTTTTTTTTTGTATAAAATATTTTAATGCTATTTTCTCTAACTTATCGCAAATCAACAAGTAATTTTTTTGTTACATCGTAATAAAATCATAAATATTAAAATCAATGTAAAATTATTAGTACAAATACGAAGAGATTTGAAAAAAGGTATTAAAATAACATCTTACGATTCGAAAATGCTCTTCAGGCCTAAGCTTTTTTCATTAAATCTGTTTTATTTATTTTGATATGTGACAAATTTGGCAGAACTCTGATCCCTAATCTATTTTTAATGAATAAAGCTAACACGCGTGCATTATTTGTTGTTTTAGGCGGCAGTAACTGAATTGCTACAACGATGGAAACACGGAATGCTCCGACGTGGAGAAGTGTTCTCCATGATGAATTCTCATCATCGCGAAGAAGCAATGAGCCTCTTCCGCGTTCTGTTTTCCGCCAAGGACTTTGAGACTTTCTACAATACCGCCGTCTGGGCTCGTTTCCACATGAACGAACAAATGTTCACTTACATGCTGAGCCTCGCCACGCTGCATCGCGCTGACACCAGGAACATCCGTCATCCCCCGATGTACGAGGTGGTCCCGCACTTATACTTCAACGAGGAGGTTTTACATCAGGCCTATCACATCGCCATGGGTGGCTCTGGTTAGTATATCAATTAAATCAAATCTCAATTCATCCACGACCGACGTTCAATTCTGGAGATTAGAATTTTATTACGAGCGAAACAATTTCAATAAATATTTTTTCTTTCTCAATGTCCAATTTTCCAAATATATTCCATATATTTTGCTCAGAAAATCTCTCAAGATTTTCTAAAAGCAAATGCCACGACAATTCAATCAACTTGTTCTTTTACTGCAAATAATTTTATGCATAATGTATTAAAAGTAGAACACAAGATCGGCAAAAGTTATTTGTTTTATAAACAGATATTATATAAATTTTTTCCGCGAGGCAAAATACCTCGCACTGGACTAATGTAATAAGAAAAATGTTATGTGCCAATATTAACCAAAGATTTCTGTTTTAACAGGTATGAAGAAAACGGTCGGTGGTGTAGACGTTTACTACATTCCCGCCAACTACAGCGGCTGGTACGTAATCAGGGATGAGATGCCGGAGATGCATGAAAAATTGAACTACTACACCGAGGACATCGGTTTGAACGCTTACTATTCCGTGGTCAACCACGATTTCCCGCTCTGGATGAACAGCAAACGGCACAACTTACCACAACTTGCCACAACTAAACGCGGCGAGATATATCTGTACATACACAAGGAGATCCTCACTCGTTACTATCTGGAGAGACTGTCCAACGGTATGGGTGAGATTCCCTACGTCGACGTGAACAAGCCCATCGTTACCGGTTACTACCCGACGATGCACCATCACAACGGCTTGTCGTTCCCGCAGCGCCCCGCTAATTCTGAGATCCCAATGCGCGAGCACAGGAACGTTCAGGTCGGTGAACATCGTCAATTCTTTATCGATTTGTCGCATATTAAAGATGAAGAAAAAAATTTGTAAGAATGCTTTAGAGCTACATTTCTAAGATATTTCCGAGATAAGAGAGTATCTTTTAAATGTGCTCCATTTTATTTGCGTTGTTAAAAACGCTTCTTAAAAACTCCAATGAAAATTTGTAACTTTTGCTCTGCAAACATGTAAAAAATATTTAATAAGAATAAGAGAAAAGATAATTTTTTAATGGTCTTCTCTGATTTTAAATAATTGCGTTGATTAAAAACTGTTTATATGTGTAGAAAATAACGTATTGATAACGCTCGCTAACGTCTGAGGATAAAAGAATCAAACTATCATTTTTGCAGATTAATTAAATCATGATGATAATAATACGATTGTCCAACAGGCTCTGCTGGACTCTCACAATCGCATCTCTGACGCTATCGACAGCGGCCACCTCGTCGACATGAACGGCAAGCACATCAACATCTACGAAACCGTGGACGGTCTTAATCATCTCGGCAACGTGATTCAGGGTAATGCCGACTCTGTCAATCCTAAATACTACGGACACCTGGACACAATGTACAGGAAGGTTCTCGGCATGGCACCGGAAGTAAGCACCAAGTACAACGTCGTTCCAACCGCTCTCGATTACTACGCCACCAGTCAAAGGGATCCCGTCTTCTATCAAATGTACAAGAACATCGTCACCTACTTCATGAGGTGAGATTCTACAAGCCAAGCGTCATCGAATGTGACTGTAATGAGAAACCGCGAATTTTAAGATCCGATATTTAATCGCGTCCTCCCGCGCAGATTCAAGAGCAACTTGCCGAGCTACACGCACGAGGAGCTCGCCTTCCCGGGCGTGACAATCGAGTCCGTCACCGTTGACAAGCTGATGACCTTCTTCGACACCTTCGACTCGTTGCTCAGCAACGCCGTGTCGGTGAGCAGCCAGAAGGAGGCTTCGTCGATGTTGATCAAAGCGCGCCAGCACCGTCTGAATCACAAACCCTTCACCTTCCACATCACAGTCAACAGCGACAGGAACGTCAAGGCAGTCATTCGCACCTTTATGGGACCGAAATACGACGTTCACGGCCACGAGCTGGACATGAGCGAGAACTACATGAACTTCGTAAATGTCGATCAGTGGACCGTTGACCGTTAGTATAGATTTTCGTCTTTTCTTACAACATTTTATCTCAAAATTACCGGATTCAAATCTTTACCTCGACAGAATTCTTATCTAATAGTTGATCACAAAAATCGACAGTATCGAAAATTATGTCTTTGCGATTTGCAGAAAATACGGTAAACAATGATTTTCCAAATATATTCTTTAAATCTTTCAAAAAAGAACATCCAGTGATCCAAAGGCAATCTTTCACTTCTAACGTTTTGTTTTCTCAATCGCTGACGAGATTGCGTAATTGTTACAGTGAAATCTGGCACGAACAAGATCGAACGACACAGCTACGAGTCCATCTACACGATTCCCGACGAAATGCAGAGCGAGGTCGTGTACAAGAAGGTGGTGAAGGCTATCGAGGGTGGCGAGACATTCACCTACCCGGGTCAACCCTACGGTTATCCCGACCGTCTGTTTCTCCCTAAGGGCTGGAAAGAGGGTATGCCGCTCAAGATCTTCGTGAGCGTGACGCCTTTCGACGAGACGACTGCTGTGAAATACGACTCGCCGATCTGGGGTCAGGGCGTGATGGACGGCCGTCCGTTGGGATATCCGCTGGACAGACCGGTGCGCACCCACAACTTCACCATGCCCAACTTCCACGTGAAGGACGTCCTTGTGTTCCACAAGCAGATGGAGGAAATGAACATGACCATATAAAGCTCGTCATAAAGCGCGTTCCGTCACGTCAAATGACACTTGGTGCGCTTTGCTGCATGTCTACTTATATAATTAATCAACACGTGCGATCGCCGGTTTAAGAGCCTGGGAATCGTGCTGACTGGAAAAGAGATGTACGAATAAGAGAAGCGAAGCACAGTGCACAGTAGCGTCATTGAGAAATTTTACATGTAACCGATGAGATGCATCAAAAATAAATTCTGCGAAACATCCTGTATCATTTATCTCTGCCCTCATTTTTTCACACCCGCGTCAAATCCTATTCCAAATTCTCTAATTCAATCGATCTTACGAGTTTGTCCTTACGAAACAAAATTCTATTCGATTTTAATTAGTTAAAAAGAAAGTTTTATTTGCATAATATATTCTATTTAGTGTATCTCTATTTTTATTCATTGCGATAGATAAGTAGCAAAAACGGAGGACGGCAAAATTCAAAAAATTGAATAAATAACACAAAAAGAATATAAAAATATAAATAATATAAACTGAAAAAGCAATGTAAAAAAAGTGCAAAGCATGTATCTCTTCTATGAGAATAATCATCTCTTCAGTAACTAATTTCTCGACAGATCGTGTTTCTTTATGATACCCGCGCATTATTTATAAATTTGTTACTAATGATAATTTTAAGCAATCATAGTTTTTTTTAGAAATACAATAGCATTGTATGTTATATATAATGATATAAGATCGTAAATATTGTAATTTTAATAAATAATAATAAATACTTTGCATCAACATATTTTATCGTGTCAGTATGATTGACATATTTACTTCAATATTGACAACAAAATCTGTCACTTGAAACGGTGCTAACATTTGAACAGATAGCATTAGAAGATTAGCGGACAGTGGAAATGTACATTTCGTTGTGCTATATTGATAAGTCTCTATTACGGATTCAATAAGAGCAAAAATAAGAATTAATTAAATTAATAACTATCACTATTATTGATCTTGATAACAATTATTAGATTCAACATAAAAAATATTCATATTTAATCACGTTTTAATTAGATTCTTTAATTAACTCTGAATTGTCACGTAAAAATGTGTTAACCAAATAGCCGTTTTAAATGATATAAGTTTAGAATGCGGAATTGCCTATAACATTAATTGTGTATAATTAATCAATATTAGTTTTGAATCAATCTATTTTTGCATAATACGGTCCATTAATACAAAAAAAGCTAACGATTATACTATTCCAGTCACAACAACGAGGCGGTAGACCATGGCTGTTTAATCACGGGTCATGAAACAAAGATAGTTAATTATTCTATGGACGTTCAGATATGCCTAATAAAGCTTAATAAGACCGGCTTGATAAATGCTTATTTTTCTTTTATCATCTAAGGAAGCACAGCTGTTTGGTTATCAATCTGTTATAAAGAATAAAATTTTACCACCGGCCGTATCAATCCTGCCGCACAAACAACATATGTGTGTATTGCATATCGAATTTCTAATATACAAATAGCACTTTCTGATCAAAATTAACAAAGTAATTATAGACATTTTATTTATGCATATATTTAGTTGATTATTTTTTATTTTATAAAATATATTTTTTGTAAATTTCTTGAAATATAATCAATTATATTCAAAAGTAAATAAAAATAAATAAAATATGTTGAACAATTTATAAACAATTTTCTTATGTTTCAATTTTTATCATTAAATATTAGCTAATGATCAATCGATTTGGATGTAAGTCGCGCGGCAGTCATACGATAAACATTTTACTAATTTAATTATATTAATATGCATATAAGTACATTAAAAGTATAACATTCAGCCTAATTTTGTTTCATTAAAAAATAAAACATTCAGAAACACTAATAAATTAAAGATTGCTGAGAAGTTCTCAATTAATAGAATTTATCGCATTTTGATAAAAAAGGTATCAGAACTTAAAATGTTTTAAGTTCAAATAAATCTATAAAATTGTATAGCGCAAGATAAATAAATACTAAAAAGTAATTAATGTACACATGGTATACATAAGAGAAATTTATAGTTCGATTTCGAGTCAAAAGTCATATGCGATAAACGCACATATTTACAATTTGTGCGGTTATAATGAGACTCATATCATTCCTTTAAGCAGCAATTAAACTTGTATTCGTCATCATAAACATGGTATGTTGCATAGAACTTGCGCAAATATACTTTCGATAGATTGCGATTAGGTGTGTTCGAAAAACATATCCCGTGTGATGACCTTTCGCGCGTGAACGAATCTGCCAGCGCGATTAACGAGATTCGTTTTAACAACGGCTTTTATCTATTGGCGCGACAAAAAACACGCTCAAAGAAGTCATTAGTGCGATATACACAGTATATCGTTTAACATTATCACCTCGAATAACTTTTTCCATTATTCCATCAAAAGTTAACAGGAATGTGCATTAGACAAAAGAGAGTTTTGCGAACTTTCACGCGTTTATTGTGAGACAACAAAATTATAAATTTGATATATAACTATTTTTAAATACAAGCTGAAAAGCAAGCTAAAAATACATTAGACAAAGTAAAAAAGTAAAAAAACATTGAAAGAATCAAACTCTTTTAAAGTCTCTCTCCTTTTTTACTTTTCCTCGTGTTTCATCCTGCATCTGCTAGATAACAGTCTTTTTAAAATAACTTTTTTAAAATAAGAATGTTTCAAGATAAAAAATAAAAGCAAATTTTAAGCAAGTTTAGACACAATTTATCCTGATTTTGCATTTGAAAATGTTCACAAAAAAATAGATAAACTTATATTTGTTGTCTCTGACGATTAAACGAAACGATTAACGAGTTAAAGTAATCGATACTAATTTTATATTCATAGTGGATCTGTAAATAATCATTTATTAGATAACATCCCCGCACTGCCAGCGAGTGAAACAGAAGCAAAGAAACTACCGATCCGATATCGAATATGGTTCCAGTGCCCTTATGACCTATCGATTTGATTGCGTGCTCGGTGTAGGTGTATAAAACGGCGTGCGCGGCGACGAGTACCACTCAGAATTAATCTCGACTGTGCTGAGTGTCGGAAAAGTTTTGGAAAATGAGGCTACTGACGGCGTTAGTAGTCATCGTGGCGGTCAGCCTCGGTCTGGTAGCGGCCGACTACACTACCGTAAAGATCGCCGACAAGGATTTCCTTCTCAAACAAAAGAAGATCTACAATCTTCTGTACCACATCCCGCAATTGTCCCTTGTGGATCCTTCCTTGTACGACGAAGGCCACTCGTACAATATCGAGAGCAACATCGATTCTTACACTAACACGGTAAACAATCGATTAGAATGTACATTTATTAATTGTCTGCTATTCTATAACATTGGCCAACTCAAGATATACTTTAAAATTAGTTGAGTTGGATTTAACGTTTAGTTTCCTTTGAATTTATTTCTAATACGAGCTGCTTGTTTTTCAAGAAAATCAATTTTCCACGTTTTTTTTTTTGTAACAAATCGCGCTCTATAGTTTCTATATAGTCATTGCCATTTCCGATCGTATCGTTTGATAACGGATCGCTGCACATAACTATCTTTTACCGTATTTTACGGTATATTTATGTGAATCTATTTGCAGACTGCGGTGAAGGACTTCCTCTATCTGTACGAGTATGGCATGCTTCCTCACGGTGAGATAAACTCTCTCTATTATCCGAAACTGCTGAAGGAAACGGAAGCGTTGTTCCACTTGTTCTACTATGCCAAGGACTTCGACACCTTCTTTAAAACGGCGTTATGGGCGCGCATTTATTTAAATGAGATGCAGTTCGTCACCGCCTTGTACAATGCCGTTATACGCCGCGAGGACACTAAATTTATCCAACTGCCACCTCTCTACGAATTATATCCATACGGATTCTTTAACTCCGAAGTACTCGAGAAGGCGCACCACGCATCACTTTTCGGTAAACTCGGTGAGTATTGGCTTTTGTTACTAATAGTAGATGATTGATAAAATGGATAATCTACTATTAATAAAATAGTTATAAAACAGTATCAAAACAGTCGAGAACAATCAAGAATTTATTTTTTTTTTCATCAACGTACATATCAAATTTTACTCTAAAAAATTGATCTCATAGATTTCTGGTAATGCAGTCTATAAATAATATTTATTAACGTTTGGCGTAGACTCGAAGAAGTTCGGTGGCTACGACACCTATATCATCCCGGCGAATTATTCCGGATGGTACATATCGCGCGACTACGACTTGGAGCACAAGATCAATTACTTCACTGAGGATATCGGGCTGAACGCCTACTACTTTTTCTTCCGGCTTGAATATCCGTTCTGGATGAATAGCGACGAATTCGGATTGCAGAAGTACCGCGGTGAGGAATATCTCTACGGTCACAAACAGCTGCTGGCTCGTTACTATCTGGAGCGACTGTCTAACGATATCGGTAAAATCGAGGATTTCGATTGGCACAGGGAATTCTACAAGGGATATTATCCGACGATGACCTATCAAAACGGGCTGCCGTTCCCACAGAGACCAAGCTGGAGCAAATTCCCCTATTACAAGTACAAATACATAAAGGTGCGATTTAACTTTAATTCTATTGCCAAGGAAAAAAGTTTTTACCGCCACAGTGCTTTCATGCTGTAACAATACATTTCTTCAATTACTGCATAAATATTAAGAAACTTATTTTAAGAAATTTTTTTAATTATTTTAAGAATTTTTAGAATTTTAAGAATTAACTTATTTTAAGAATTTTTTAAATTTAAAAATTTTATTCTTTTGATTTTATTTTTCACCGTTACATTATGTTAAATATTGTTTTTAGGAAATAGAAGATATGGAATCTCGAATTTCGGCGGCTATTGATTTCGGATTTGTCAAGGATGCTACTGGAAAGACAATCGACATCTACACGCCCGAAGGTCTCAACATCCTCGGCAACATGATCGAAGGCAACGCGGACTCGTGTAATCCCGACTTTTTCGGTAGCATCGACTACTTCGCGAGGAAGATTCTCGGGTACAATTTGGACCCGTCGTCGTCGTATCAGATTTTACCCAGTGCTCTCGAATTATACAGCACGTCCATGAGAGATCCCGCGTTCTATCGTCTCTATCAGAGAATAATCGACTTCTACTACTTTAGGTATTCATTTGGGGGATTCATAAGATTTCTAAATATGTCAAATAATAATTTTCTTCCAACAATATTTACGAGTATGGCTTTTTCAGATACAAAAAGCATGAGAAGCCGTACAACAAAAACGATATTATCTTCCCCGAACTGAAAATCGAGTCCTTCGTCGTGGACAAATTGATCACCTATTTCGATCAATTCGACACGACAGTCAGCAACGGTTTGATAGTCGAAAGCGCGAAGGAGGCCGAGAGTACGCTGATCAAGATCCGTCAGTATCGTCTCAATCACAAACCGTTCAGCTTCCACTTCGCCATCAACGCCGAGAAACCCGTAAAAGCCGCGATACGCATCTTCCTCGGACCGAAATATGACATCCATCACAAACCGCTGGACTTCTCCGAAAGCGCGAAGTACTTCTACGAAATGGACAACTGGATAGTCGACTGTTAGTAATCAATAACCTTATTTTTATCAATTTAATTCCTTAGACAAATTTATCTTAGCAAAGTTTTTTCTATTTTTCAAGAAAACAAGTCTTAATATGAAAATATTGATAACAAGCGATGCAGAAAAATTCCTTTTTTTCCACGCGTTTCACAATTCGAAAATAATTTGATTCTTTTTATTGCATTGCAGTGAACGCCGGTCCAAACAAGATTATCCGAAACAGCCAAGATTGCTTCTTCTGTATACCCGATCCGGAACCGAGCGAATTATTCTACAAGAAGGTGCTCAAGGCCTTGGACGGTTCGGAGTCCCTCTCGTACACGGAACGACTCTACGGATTCCCCGAGCGTCTGCTCTTGCCCAAGGGCAAGAAGGAGGGTATGCCCTTCCAGTTCTTCGTGTACGTCAATCCGGTCAAAGAAGAACAAGCTATGCCCTACACATCCCGTATCTTCGGCGAGTACCAGTTCGACGACAAACCGATCGGATTCCCCTTGGACAAACCCACCTTCAACTTCCGCTACGAGGGACCGAACATGTTATTGAAAGACGTTGTAATTTACCACAAGGATGAAATGGAGCTAAATATCACTTATTGATCGCTTACTTGAATCTCTGAAAAATATTTGATTCTATGTATCCACAACTAAACATGTTTTAAAAAATGTATATATAAATGTTTTATATTGCATAATTTACACTAAAAGATTTCAGAGAACACAACTCATATTCTTCGACCACATAAAAATGAAAAATTCCAACCAGTCCGAGAAGAATTATGATTGATTTACTATTACAGCGATTGTCTAATTTATGGCAACTATTTTTAAAAATATGTATTTTATAAATTTTTATCTCACCTTTAAATATATATTTAAATAAATCTTAAATTGTTTAGAAAATAAAAACACTTGTGATTCAATGATCCTTCACACAAGATAAACATTAAGTTTTCTAAAGTTTAAAATTGATTTTTTTTTTAATTTTGTACAAAAGACATTTTATCCGCATTTTTTATTATATTTGCGCAGAGAAATATTTTTTTTTCAGCTGTGTCACAATTTGGGATAAGCTCGGCATTATAATTGTGGTGTTTAACGGATTAAATGCCGAAGTCCAACACCTCCGCGCGTTCTATCGCGCGACGGTCAAGTACACGGCCGACGTGAAGGTAAGTGGCCTCGTGGAGAACGCAAAACGCGATACTCAGTTTTGTTATAACCGTTGGCTGGTTAACAGGCTTGATCGGCTCGTGAAATAGTCTCGAGGAAAACTCCGTGGTTATCGTGAACAAAGAGGACGTTTCTTTTTCCTTATTATTCACATTGGAATAACACACCATGGAATTTCGCACGTTTATCGTAAGTCGCATACATTATTTTTCACTATTAATTTTTTTATGATCACATATTTAGATCGATGCAAGTGGATTGTACGAATTGCTTCAACTTCTTTGCATTTTCTTTCGTCTATGGATATTTTGACAAATTTAAAACCAATGCTTTCTTAACATTTGACACAAGATATCTATTCATAATTTTTCTCATAATTTTCTAACATTTATAATTTTGTTACGGAGAAGTGAAAAAGAAATTTTAATTGATAAGAATTAACAAAATTAACTTTAGAAATTAAATGAAGCTTATAATCTATTCACAGATGTGAAATTTTTGCATGTTAATCTATAAATTATGAGAAGATTTAAATCTAAAGAAAAGAGTTTGAAACTGATTGCTAAAAATTCATAGATGGAAGAAAACAAAATATAAAGAAGCTAAGATGCTGATTATAAGTAATTAGAACCGATTCAAGCGAGTCAATTAAATTTACTTTAAAAAAAACAGAGAAAAGAGACATATATTTAATACAATTTTAAACTCAAATTTATTTTAAAATTAAAAATTAACGATCAGTAAGTCTTACACGATTATTATTATTGGTATTGCGTTTTTCCTGTAAAATTATTGTCATTTTAGAAATAAAACAATGTTGACTGTCAATGCATAGTCCTGCATTGCAAGATCATTTACTGCAAAATAAATCGCAGCGATAATATAAAAATTATAATTTCAAATTTCGGTATTTTTGAAGCAAAGTCGCGACAGGTATTTGGTTATTAAGATTCTACAGCCTTGCCCTGTTAAATGAATCGAGTCTATACCGTTTCTGTCGATACCGGTTCAGAGACGTCATTGTCCTCGTAACTGTATCGGCACTTCCTAACGCTTGGATCTACTGCAAGAAAGTAGGACGGACATCCACCTTGCGAGCAACGGGAAGAATTCCTACGCTAAAGATCGCATCCAGTTTTATCAATCTATCGTCTCCTAATAAGGAATCGTTCGTTCGATAATCATTACATTTTACTGTACGCAATATTGGAAGTAAAGTGAGCTTAACGAATGCAGCTATATTGAGCTGTTGCCTTACAATAAAATCGTACAAAGCACAAATGGCTCTGTAAATTATTATCTACTAATATCGATTTTTTTCGCATCTACAATAGTTGAATTAGCGTTTCTTACATAAAAAAAAAAGAGAGACAAAAAGCGATAAACAGTTGCACGCTGTATAGAATTTTCTTCGCAGTCTCCTTTCGAAACTGAATAGAAAAACATAGATTGTCAGCAAATTTTCAGTAGAACGGTATAACGCATCGGTTAGTAGGGCAACACTCGTGTAGCACGCGCGTTATAAAATAGGCTGAGCAGCCCGAAGCGAGGAGCATGGACCGTGGACCGTGTACCGTTAGCATCGAATGCATACCTGGGTAACTACGAGGGAACACCTCGTAATCGCGCCGATGTCGATGTGATATAACGTAATACCTGTTGGCCGTTACTCAGAACGTGCACAGAAATTTTATGTAGGATAACCGATTATTACACTAAAAGAAACACAAATAATACGAACTACAATAAACTCACTACTACAAAACTTAACGAAAGATTACGCAAATATTATTTAGATATCTTACATCTTATTTCTGAAAATAACTAAAATCTACTCGAATTTTAATTGCGTAAATGAGAGATACTTCGGTCACTCTAATTTTTCCTTCAAAAAATTTTCCACTAAATATAGATTTAATTAGAATAATTAATTTTATTAGGAGAGATTAAAATTTAAATAAAAGGTAAATGAAAAATATGCATCGTACTATAAAATATTTTTAATTCCATATTTAAGTTTACCTTTGCAAATACTATCTCTCTCTTTCTCTCTCTCTCTCTCTCTGAAGCTAAAGTATTATTATTATCATTATTTAGATGATACTCTTGTGCGCATTCTCCTATGCCGAAGATTACGAGAGATCCAAAAATACCAAACCAGTTGTTAACGACAACGAGTCCGCGGGAGAAGAGCCTCCGGAGGGATATTATGCGTTCGTCGAGTCGCCGAATGCGGAACCGCCTCGAGTTCGGCCACCACCGTACATTGACAGCGACAAAGAATGTTACGGTAGGTCCGAAATACGATGTGTAAAGTTAAGTTTTTAACAAAGTACATCTGAATATCTTTGTTATATTTGAACATGTGAAAACATTGTCAATACGTAATCGTGTAAAAAAACACGTAAAGCAAGTAAAATTTTAGAAAAAAGATGAAAATATTTCTTATAAGAAAAAGTTGTCAGTTATTGCACAACCTTCATTTTTTAAGTACCATTAATTATAAAATTAATTAATTCTAATAATTAAAAAATATTATATAATACTCTAAATTTGAATATTAAAAGAATATTTTATCATTTGATTTTTAGACAGCGGCAAGCAAGGAAAAGGATTTGTTTCGATACATAATATCTGCGGCGATTTGAATAAAGGCTACATTCCGCGGAATCCAATGAAACAATATGTAAATGGCTCGTCGTATCCTTTGTAAGTGAAGAATGGATCAACGAAATATAAGTAAAAATAAATTTCTACGTTATTAAGCAACCTTTCTAAAATAAAATCTTGTTCTATACATTTTTTTGTAGCGCACTGATAAAGAATCATACTCTCAAGTTCCTCAGCAAGGCATTACCAATTCTTAAAGCTGACGATTCGCTACCGAAAGTTGCCAAAGTACATCCGTTATCGCAAAACTTGTAAGTAGTTCGAAATATTCTCACGATGAACGCGTTGAGTGCAAAGTTTTATATAAATTAAATTAAAGTATGTATGTACAAATTTTATATATATTAATATTAATATTAATAGAAATTTTAAAATAGAAATACACTTCGCGTTATTATCGATATTAGCATATCCATTTTAAAAATAATTATATCGTAACTCTAGGATTAGATGCATATCGAATTAGCTAATGATCTTTTTCTACAGTGTTGACACGGACGACGAAGAAAAACATAGCAGAAGCAAAAGATCTAGCCCGTTAGATTTGATCACGGATTCTGGTCGAAACGGTCGCAAGTTTTGCGAAACCGGTGGTGGAGTGTAAGTATATATTTCACGTTTTATATAAATCTCAACTAGTGTTTTTTCAACTCCGTACATATACTATATTCATTATTGTATCATATACTTATTAGAAAATCTATCGGACTTAATAGATATTTTATTTACAAATTTTCTTTAAGCAATTTTTCTATTAATACAAATATTATTATTAATTTAAAGCTTAACCCATCCATTTTAAGACAATGGATCTATGAAATGTTTTATTGTATTTATAATATTTTTATACGTTCTATATGTCTTTGAAATTTTTTTATCTTTACAATCTGAGAGTGTAATTTTCGTAGATCCATTACCTCAGATTAAAAGAAAGATAATTTGATCTTAACTCACCCGCACACGATGCCGCCACAATAAAGTTGTAGTTAACATTGATCTGCAAAATACAAAATTATATACATATTATAGCATATATAACAGCATAAAAAATAAGTATATAATTATGGAAAAAATGTAATTTTTATATAAATATTTGAAATGCTTAAAAATATTTGCAGAAAAAAATCTCTCCAATAAACGATCAATATATCCTGTAAATAACAAATAATAAATTAATAATAATAGATATTAATGCTTATTTTTACACTGATCATGTGTGCTATTAAATTCTTATTATTTTTAATTATATTCTTATTAAATATTTTGTATAGATTCATATTGTCAAAAATTTTGTTTAATAATTATGTAATTTTTTAAGCAAATATTTATGTAAAAGGGGAATAAAGGCTTTAAAGTGTACATTAATATTATTTTTCAAATATTTTATTTCACTTCAATTGTAACAATATTGCTTCTTTCGACGAGCAGAGTGTGTATGTTGTACAAGGCGATCCAAGGTGAGCCGATCACGTCGTCGGTATCGGCTATCGAACGTCGGGACGAGCCTTCAACGTCCGACTATCGACGCGGAGAACGCGTACCAACGCAGGAGAAAACGGAATACACGGGTCCGCCAACTCCATGCCCGGCCAAGGTCGAGTACGCGACTCCCGTCTTCGCCAAGAATTACCAAGGTGTCTGGCGATACGTAGTGCAGATACCGTACGAGGGTTACTTCACACAGACCATCGAGCTCACCAGATGCATGTAAGATATTAATCGCATGACAAATTAAATATTATATCTAAAGTTTAGATATAATATTTCTTTCTCTTCACAATCCATCATTCATATCGTTAATATTATAATCCAATCGCTGTAACAAGCAATTAAGAGTCTTCTTAAAGATTCTAGTAAAACACTCATTGCAGGCAATCGAGATGCCATTATTTGGACGGTGGATGCTTGTCGTCGCCGAGATGGACGAGTCTATTGGTCGCCGAGATATTTTATCCGGACACGTTCTTGGAAGAAAATCAGGGGACTAATGTTGGCATCGGATCTGGCACTCGAGATCCTGTCGCCGGATCGCCGCCGCCGGTCCATGACTTCCAAATTATTCAGCAATATCTGCAGAAACGCGCGAGCAACAGGGGAGGCACGTAACAGTGGACGGTGCTCAGCAACACCACTGCGACGGTGTCGACGAAATGGGTTGCTTCCAGGTAAGAACGTACAGTCTCTTACTTTTTGTTATATCGTTGTAAGCTTTGTAATCAAATTGGATAACAATTGCACATTAATCGAGATTCAGTTTTCACAAAACAACTGCAATGTCTTCAGAATTTACTTAAAGTTCATAATTCTTTTATTATTTTTATTTTATGTGATATTAATTATTATATTTTATGATATCTTGATCATTTTAGGAGACGAAAACATCGCTGCGAAAATTTTGTTACTTTTAACATTCATTTTTATTCTCCAGCAATGGATATTTAAATAAATAATAATTTGTGTGTTGTCTTTATTTTGTTTTATAACAACTTAGAATTATCAATGTTTTCCGTCTGATGTTGATTCTTGAATTTGTACTTTTATTAATTTCCCGTATTTTTGTTATCCTATGTTATCTTTTCAGGTACGGTTGTACTACGATTGGTTCTTGGTACCGGGAAGCTGCAAGTGTTGGCGACCAGACTACTTTAACCGATACGTCCGTCGTAGCAGTTCCAATATCGAATTATGATGAGTTTCACAGACACACTTTTCATCCCAAAAAGATTTTACGAGCGATTACTTCGATCGTTACTGTATAAGCACACGAAGATGAAGCGATTTACTCGTTCGAATCGCGCATAGTCAATCGTTAACATATTTTTTTTATACGAAATCTTATTTATTCAGACGTCTTATACGACAATTAGTCGATACTAGTAAGCACGATAGACTGGAGTATTATAATCATAAAACAAATATATATTTGACTATAACTTTGAAATACGGCCAATTATCAGTAAAATTGCGCTAATACGACCGACAAAAGTTAAGCCATACGGAAATATAAATTTAATTTATTTAATTAATACATTGAATGTAGTAATTAAAATAATCACAAAATATCACTTTCAAAAACAATATATAAAAAAATAAATGAGAAAGTATTGTGATATAAAAAAGTACAATTTTCAAATAAAAAATAAAAAATTATAAGTCATTTCAGATATACAAAAGTAAAGCTTTATAAGTTGCTAATTAACTTAATATATTATTATCTTAATATCAATTATAATAAAATTGCCATAAGCGCGCGCGCACACACACACAAAATTAAGAAATATTATTTTTAAATGAATATAAAAACGTTTAATAATAATGTATTATATACTCTCTCTTTCTCTCTATCTTTAACAGTATTAAATAATAGAAATATGACATTCAAAATTATATACACTACAATGATAATTATTGCAATACCAGAAATTATTAATCTAATAAATAATAATTGGAATATTAAATTAATACATGTACGTATATGGAATTATAATAATTCTTATTTTTATATGCTATTATTCATTGTTATATTGTATAAATCATAATTAAAAACTTTATACTGTTTAAAAAAACAGATCTGTACTTCTTTTGTTCACTCGTTTACACCAATCAAGAATTATTTAATTAAAAAGCATTAGAAAAATATAGTAATAACAAAAGTCATAGTAATAACAAAAATTCATAGTAATAACAAAAGATATATACAAATTTAATAAATTAATCGAACATATTCTTCTCACAATTATTCAACCCGAGTCGAAAGTTACCTATTTTTACAATTAGAGAAAATATATATTTTCTAAATATTTATTATTAAAACAAATTATAACTTCTCACATATTTCAAATCAACGAGAATGTAAAAAAATCCGATTATTTGAGATATTATATTAATTTTGTAATATTCGATAAACCATAATACAAAGAAAAAAATGAGAATATTTTTCAAAAAAAAGAGTAAAATATATAAAACATAAATGTTTGGCAATTTGTAATCTATGTAACAAAATTGTCAAAAATGTAAAACTATTACGAACTCATTTGCCAATATATTCATATTTAGAGATTCTGTTGGCTAGCAGAATATGTTACATACGACTTTGAACGTTGTTTATTCGATATATGTTTATTACGATGTCGATCTGAACGCTATCGTTAGTCTGTGCTGACACTTCAAAATGGTAAGATCATAAGATATATTTTTAAACCGAATAGTTCATGAATACGTAAATCTATAGTGAAACAGACGCATGTTACTTTTTATCTAAATTTATTTTCTTAATACAATCGAAACAGTTTATTCTTTCTCTTTTACATTTCGTAACAAATAATTCTCTGCTTATCCATTCTATTATAATTTTCTAAAATCTTTCGATTTCACGATATAATTTTTATACTTCGCTGTATTTTATTTGTATCCTTCAACAAAGAAACGTTTTCACAGATACTAAAAACGAAAATTGGAGCGGCATGCGCCAAAATGTTAGTAAACAGTGGTCTAACGTTTATCGTCGCGATACTTCTTTTTCCTGGTGAAATTTTGGGAAAGGAGACCGAGAATAATGAAACTGAATACCGTTTACCAAATCACATAATACCATTGCACTATACTATCAGTATGAGGCCACTTATCACCAATACAGAGCAAACTATTTCATTCAACGGTTTCTGCAGTATCACTCTCTTCATTCTTTATTCAACGCGGAACATAACTTTTCATGTCGATAATATAATAAACATACAGACAGCAGAGATACTTAATTACTTCAATAGATCTCATTTGCCGGTTTCTTCGTACAACGCCGCAAGAAGCACAATAGTTCTTAATGTCACCCATGAGATGTTACCTGGAATTTATGTTCTGAAAATGCAATATAAAGGAAAAGCGAATGATAACTATGTCTTCTTCAGACCTCGTTACAAGGACAGCAAAAATCTTATAGAGTAAGTAAATGTTAAAAAACACATAATTATTCTATAAACAAGTTTGCATTATATCTTAAAAATTATTTCCATTACCATTATCATCACAAAAAAGCTTTATAAAACATATAAGACTTACATAAACATAACTAATTTATAGTTTTAGCAACAGCATGAAAAAATTTGTTTTATATCTGAATATAATTATTCGTCCCTTTATTATAATTAAAAATATGTACTGATATAGCAATTTAAAGATACCTGCTTTTGTTACTAAAAAAATTAGCTTTAAATCTAGAAAACTTAAGCACATCAAAAATTAAATTCAGAATTTTAAAATTAAAAAGTGACAAATATTTTATAGCAAAAACTAATAATAATATAGTAATGTAAAATGTAAATTATTTCTCTCCCTTTTTTTTATAATTTTTCACATAAGATTAATAAAGCAACTAGTAAAACTAGTATATTCTCCAGCGCACAAAAAACTAGCTCCTTTCATACAAAAATAGTTCATATATTCGTCACTTAAAACATTTCAAAATATGGCAGGTGGATGGCTCTGACAAATTTCCAAAGGATCGGGGCGCGACAAGTGTTCCCGTGCTGGGATGAACCAGCAATGAAAGCAACATTTATGATTAATGTAGTATATTATTATATATATACAAGTTGTTCAAATATGCCGATAAAATACTCTAAACTGCAAGATGATTTAGTGTGGAAGACAGACGACTTCCACACTACCTTACCAATATCCCCGCATCGCATTGGAATCCTATTTACCAAAAATGGTGTCACGGACATTATCATCAACAATGTTACAATACATTATAGACATAACACGAAAACAATAGAAAAAGATCTAACATTTGCAAAAATGATTATTAAAAATGTCACAATATACCTGAAATCCAAATGGAAGATCATAGATGTAATTCCAAAGATGGATCATGCAATAATTCCGGGTCTCATAGACAATGGCATACAGAATTGGGGACTCGTTTATTACAAGTAATATATAATAATTTTCATTATACATATAAATCATTATGCAAAAATCACAGTATACAAAATTTCCTTCATTCCGTTCGCTACGCGATTACTAGAGATAGTTGATATTTTGTCGTAATCTTTCGTGAAATAAATAAAATAACATTCAAAATTCTTGAAAACAAAAGCATATAACCGCATTATTTATATAATAATTTTAGTGAAGCAGATGTTATCTACAATCATACATTAGACTCCGCTGGTCGCGACAGAGAGGTGGCATACTTAGTGGCACGACAAGTAGCAAGTCAGTGGTTTAGTAATCTAGTCAGCCCATCTTGGTGGTCCGACGAGTGGTTAAATGAAGGTTTAACTATGTTCCTTGGCATGGATGCTATCGATAAGGTTGTTTTCATACGCAATTAAAAAATAAAAGCATTGGTATCATTTTTATAAACATTTTTCTTAGAACCAGGATAAACATGGACTTTTTACAATTTTCTTAAAATTTTAAGTATAAAGATAAAGAATCATAAAATGTTTAAATTTAAAGAATACGGAAAAATTTTGCAAACATTCGACAATAGGAGATGTTCAACTTGAAACAAATGCACATTACATTAAAAGAAATATGTTACTATAATTGTATTATAAATGATCGAAGAAAAGCTTCTTTCGCGAGTAGTACCATTTCATGTAAATAAAATGCAAATGTTTGTTAAATATTTATATAATTACACAAAAATTTTCATTTCTAGCTTTTTCCGGATTATCAAATAATGGATTTATTCGTAGTCCAGAATCGTGACTTGCTCAATTTGGACTCACATATGAAAACAAAACCTTTTATGTCAAAAATCAATAGTTCCACTGATATTAATTCGCTTTCCCTTTTTCCCTATTATCTCAAAGGTAAGTATAACAATTTTTTGTTTTCTATAAATTTCAGAACATAATCAAGCGTAATGATAAATAAATTTATATAAAATCCTATTTAATAACTTTGCATTAAAAGAAAATAATTCAAGTAAGAAATTAACAATATTACGTGACCAGTTTTGTGTTTAAAAATTTATGTAAACGGTGTATTAATAATATTACATGGCCAGTTTTGTGTTTAAGAATTTATATAAACGGTGTAATAAATATATCTTTAATCATACTTAAAATAAACCAAATAAATTTTAATAATATTATTAGTTGTAACAAACTACTAACATTTGTTACATTGTTAATATTTTGCTTATTAGCTGATGCATACTGTTTTCAGCATCTGCTTTTTTACGCACGTTGCAACATATAATTACCGAGCAGGTATTTCAAACCGGTGTTCACAACTATTTCAACACACAGTAAGTAGTAACTGTAGCATCATTATTAAATGCTTCAAAATTAAATGTGGAAAATATAAATTAATTAATTATTAATAATAATTAGTTAATTAATAATAATAACTTTCTCCGTAAAAGACATAATATATATTATATCTGTTATATAAATTAAGTAATAGTAAAATTAAGTAATAGTGTTTTATATATTTCTCGATGCAATCCATTCTACCATTTCCTGTGAATAATATTAAATTTTACAAATTTAGTAAGTTTAGCTCGGCAACTTCTGACGATTTTTGGAATGCGATGCAAACTACCGTAAACAAAACACGTCATGCACACAAATTATATTTTAGAGAAAACATACTTAATAGTATGTGGCACTACTCTTGTATTACAGTGGAAGTGAACCGAGATTATGATACTGGAATTATAATTGTATCAGTTAAATATGACATATCAAACTGCGCATTTCATATAGAAAACTTTAGGATACCTGTGACTTACACAACTCAAAATAATATCAACTTTAACACAACTTTCACGAACATCATGTGGGTGAACACGTACGATAAAGAGTACCAGAAATCTTTTCCTTTAACCTTTTATTCGCATGATATAAATGGTTGGTTAATACTCAATTTACAACAAATCGGTAAGTAATTAATAAATTTATAATCGTTTTGTCTTTACTCTGTATAAAAAATTGTATATAACATTACGCTAAATATTAGTATTTACTTCTGAAAAACCAAGATATTATGTATCATACATTCTACAAACAATAGTATCCAATAAAATATTATATGGAGTAATCTATGTGTGTGTCGGTATGTATGTTCCACTTATAACTAAAAATTCAAACTATATTTTATTTTTCATATAATTTGTTAACCATTTACGTAAAAAAATTTATTCATATATCTAATTTCTTATGCAGTTCAATTTCTTATAAATAAGCTCCAAATTCATTAATTT